TGTCTTGATCGTTAAATGAATCAATCATTTAATTGCTTGATTAAAGCGTAGCGTTGATGGTGTGATTAATGACTTGATGTGCAGACTGAACGACTTCACGCGTCTTCATAGTATATAATTTCATAAACAATTTTATTAAAAAAAAAAAACACAAATAAAAGTTAAAGTACGTGATTTGTTTAACTTGATGTAATGTTCATAAAATATATATTATATATCAAATATTCTTATATTTTGCACATAAATACCATAGAGTATATTAACTCTATCAAAATATTTATAATGGAATGATGAAAATATTGAATACTAAATGAGCTATAAATATTATTGATTGGCACGTCGAGATATTATCATGATGAAAATTTTTGACACTATACTATATAAGCTATAAATACTATTAATTGGTACTTCGAGACTATAATGCATGATGAAAATTTTAGACCCTATACAAACTACTCGTATAAATATTGTTAATTGACACGTCGAGATTATAGTGTCATGATGAAAATTTTGCACGCTATATAAACTATAAATATTATTAATTGGCATTTCGAGACTATAATGTAGTTATAGAAATTTTAACCACTATGTAAACTATAAATTTTCGAAATTATCGTGTCAAGATGAATCGATTAAAAAGGACCACCTGTCTAACTCTCTTTTTATTAATTACGAATATTACAACATACCTATATAATGTGTGTTATTTATTAGTTTGGCATTTGCATATCCGACCTTTAAACCCTTTATCTGTCTGTTAATGTGTATCATAAACTATTTTATAAGTTTTTGATGTAAACAAAAGATTTTTTGGAATGTAGTTTTTATCAAATCTATGCAAAAAAAGGATAAAAAAGACATATAGTTTGACTTTATTATTGAACGTTTGTATATCTATATAAACAATTCTCTCAAATTTTGATGTAATCTCCGTTTAAACTGGACAAAAAAATGGTCAAAAAAAGAAAGCCTTGATGAATAGTCGCTAGATTTAAGTAAATACGAACTAACCTGACAAGTCCATAAAATTGACTATGGACTTAAAAAAAGCGGCCAAAAAAAGTGGACAAATGGATCAATTTCTACGATTTTATCATAAATGTATGTATAAACCTATGCTATTTAAATAGTCCATGATGAATAGTCGCTAGGTTGAAGTAAAAACGAACCAACCTGACAAGTCCATAAACTTGACTATGTTTCAATTTGTAAAGAATAACAGCTCTGTTAGTTTAGCTAGATAAGTGACCCCACATATTTTAAATCTTATCTTAGCCAATGAAAATCAGTGCCAGAACACAAATATTATAGTTTTCTCCCAGTTTAATCTATTGACTTTTAGAAGACATTAAATAAAAGTAGAAATTCAGTTAAAAATAAGTAAATTTTATAATTTAAATTATTCATCAACCTACAAACCTATCTGATCAAATAACAAAATTAGGGATTTTTTTTCATCTTTCCCCAGGTCCGCATTTGATATTTATTACCATAAGAAAGTAATTTTAATTATAATAAATGGGAGATAATTTAGTATTGATTTCTACAGAAAAAAATTTAATTGACATGTTTTTATTAAATATTCAGCTTAATTTTTATTAGTATGAACTATGAATTATAATTTAATTATAATTAGTAAGTAAAAGTTAACATTCGCATTATTTTATGTGACTAGTAATTTTTTGTATATTAAATTAATTATGATATTTTTTTATAATTATACTAATTATTTGCTAAAGTATTTGGTAGAAATTTATTTGTTTTTGTAAGGTTAACAAGAAATTTTTCTCCTCTTAACTCCTACTAACTTTTAAATTGAATAAATTATTTTTAGAAAGTAAATGTTAAGTTAATGAGCATTATCTCTATATTATTCATAAAAATGTAACAAATATATGTTATCAGGTTTAATAAAAAAACAAATATGCAGTGGCGTATTTAGGTGAGGAAGTCAAGTGGAAGTTAAATTGATAGCCCCTCAAGAATCGCACATAAACTAAAGATAATAAAAGCTATACCATTCTAATATTTAGAAGATTAAAGGTTATTTTTACTCTTAATATACTATCATATCAGCGAGATATAGTTTATAACATATTTTTAAGTATGAATGGTACAATGGATCTAAAAAGAGGTACACCCAAAAATCTCCCATATTTTGGAAAATGCCGACAGCTTCGCCAATCTCAAAGACTAACATAGGCAGGTGTTAAATGTATAAGTCTTGTTTAATTATTAGATCATTTAAACATAATAACGTTCAACATACATTTAGCATATAGTTGATCTATGAATAATATAATTGAGAACTTATAACCAATAAGGGTTTTATAGGTTGATGAGGATTATGATAATGATTATGATTTACTATTCGCTATTGAAATTATTCAAACTTGACTACACTTAAGGGCTACTCTATTACAACCATATTAATAAATAATTATCGATTTTTAATTAACAATTAATTTGTCTAAAATATAATTTTCTATTAAAAAAAAAAACTTTTCTAACTGACTTTAGTATGACGAATGTTCTCATTAAAGATTTGTGTGTATGAAATAATAATTCTGAAAGTATTATTTAATTTTTTAGTCATTTTTGGATCTCGGACCAAAAGTGATTGTACTCGCATTTGATGCGAAACAAATTATTTATTTCCGTATTTATAGATTAAGTAATAATTTTTTTATATGTAATTTAATATTTAATTAACAAAAAAATTAACATGCAAATTAACGTCGTCAGACCTGACAGCTGTTGAGATGCTTATTTTAATTCTTGTGTAAAAAATTTTCTTTTCAGAATGAATAGTAATTAAATAAGAATTATATGCTAATTTTTAAATGAAAATTTAAAAAATTTTCAAAAATAATTATTTTAATAGATTTTAATGAAACACAATATAAAATGCATACAATATTAAGTTTAATTAAATACATAAATATGTTTAGGTTTTCACATAAGCAAATTTTTTTAGTTTTTTTTAACAAATTTTAATGAAGTATATTTTTTAAGAATAAAATTTAAATTATTATTAAATTATTAAATATTTAGGGTCAGTGCAACAATGCACACTTACGTTAAGTAACGCTTAAGTGTTCTATATTAACTAGGCTCTTAATATGACTTTAATTATATACATGAATATATTTAGGTTTTCACATAAGCAAATTTTTATTTCTATAATAATTTATAAATGAAAATATTTTTTAAGAATAAAATTTAAATTATTATTAAATTACTAAATATTTAGGGTCAGTGCAACAATGCACACTTAAGTTAAGTAACTCTACTCTTAAGTGTTCAATATTAGGCTCTTAATATGACACTTAAAATTCTGATAATAGTCAATTTAATGTATGGTATAATCGATATTAAAGTGTGAGTTGTAAAATAGGTTTTTAATATTTATATTAAAAATATTAACATAAAAAAATAAAAATTAAAGAATGAATGACAAGACAGAAACGGAGAATCGAGCCCACCTCTATAGAAAAATAATTATTGAAAATTAGTGCAATATAGTTAATAGAATGAAGAGGAAAACGTTTAGATATAAATTTTATTAATCTACGGATTACATTAAATTCTTAGTTAAATACTTCAATATATATATATATATATATATAATATATATATAATATATGTTTTTATTATGTAAACAAAGTAGAAAGTGATTCCTATCGACTTTGTCTTGGAGTGAAGGAAACATCAGAACATATTCTATGCAACTGCCCAGGCGCGGCAAGACGTAGACTCGACTACCTTGGAAGCAGGATCTTAGTTCCAAATCTAATAGTTAAAATTAAGTCCACAGCAATTACGAGATTTATAAATAGTCTAGAATTGTTTTAGTTAAGCCTTTAGGCGCACAATAGATCTTCCATTCATAGCCTATTATCAAGAAACGAATAATTAATATATTATAAATTGTTGTAATTATCTTTGTAGATTCTGATCCTGATGATGACTGTCAAGGAGAGTCAAAATATAGAAAAAATATATATATTAAAAAATATTAAAAAAACGTTGAATTTTAATTTGAACAAAAAGTGACCTATGGCCGGATAAAAAACATAGAAAAACCATTATTAAAAATATAATATACAATATATGTATATCAGTTTATATATTTGTTAGAACTGTAACATTAGCAACTCAATTAGTTTTAATACACACAATGCAGTAGTCTGATATGATTTATACATATTTATATATATTAATATATCTATATACATATATAAGTAACTCGTGAGCCTAATAAATTTTTAATTTTTTATATTTTCCGTTTTTTAATCTTAAAACTAAACAATTCAAGCATTCAATTCGGTTATTGTTTTTTTTTATTTATGTTAGTTTTTTATACAATAAATTATGTATGTAACGACTGTGTGTATATATGTTGTTCATACAAGCATACTAAGCAAGTAAATTACTAATCTTGAATATAAATAAAAAATTTTTATATTCTTAACTTTAAGTAATGCAGTTTTTCGAAGCGATTTTGTATAGTCAGACGAAGTCAGACTTCGACTTATACGAATATTCAGCGCAACTGCGGCTTCAGGCTTCACTTAACGTTTAGTGAAGTATCTAGTAAGAATCTAAAATAGTTATGTATCTTAAAACTGTAGATACAAAAATAACTACAGACAACTATGTTCATTGTAGTATCTCGACAAAGAGCTTACAGAATTATTCATAATTATAATAGTAATAACAATAATGAGTAGCAATGAATCTTAAATGTTGTACATGTTTTCGAGATTTGGCTGTGTTCGGATCGTTAATAATTATTTCAGTTAATTTTCAAGGGCAGCTCTATCGAGGCCATTCTATACGCAAAACCTTTTATTTTATGATATTTCAATTATGATTTAATTTAATTTACACAACACAAAAAAAAAAAAGAACATAAAAACTAAATGGTGAAATGCATAAAATGGCAAAACCGAATTCGCATAATTAATAAAAATCATTTTTTCCATTCTTTCTTTAAGATTGGCGTTGTCAATTCCTCGAGTGAATGGAGAGTACCGAAACTGTCATATGTATGACGTTAATTATACGGAAATTTTGGCAAAAGGCATTAAGGTTGCGGACCCCAGTTGGCCAATGACCAAATGCAAAAATGGTTGGTCCTATAACTTCACCGAAATACCCTATACTACTGTAGCGACAGAGGAGAATTGGGTTTGCGATAATGCCGCGCTGCCTACCTATGCGCAGTCGATATTCTTCTTAGGCGCTATTGTGGGTGGTCTATTGTTTGGCTGGATTGCTGACAGATTTGGACGTATTCCAGCGTTGATTGGCTGCAATCTAATGGGCTTCGCTGCCGGCGTTGGCACAGCCTTCGTAACGAGTTTTTGGCAATTCGCACTTATGCGTTTCTTTGTTGGTTTCGCTTTCGATAACAGCTTCACCATGATGTACATACTGGGTAAGTAGAACTCCATTGTATTCATGTATTCTTGTATTTATACAAGTATTTAGGCCCATTTAGCGTATTGAGCAATGGTTTAGACATGTAGTTAGACCTTGCAGAAATACTCACATGCAAGAGAAAACAATGCTAAGTGTGTAATGTGTAAAATGTAAAATTATTCATGGAAACCCATTTTTCAAGACAGTGGCGGACTTGCATAAAACGTGTGTGTGGTGTCAATTAAATCATATATATATATTTATATTTAATAACAGTTGATTAAGAATTATATGTGTAATTAAGATACTCACAATCGTTGACTGTGGGGCAGTTTATTAAAAGTTAATAAATATATTAAAATTGAATTGATTTATGTTTCAACGGGCAATAGCACATTTGAAAGTTTTTTTTAATTTAATTCAATATTCAATGTATCGGAAGCATTAGCGAGTAGTTCAGTTTGGTTTAAAGTAGTTAAGTTTATTTACTTTAGTTAGAGATTAGTGAAAGTTATTAGTGACCTCTATTTATAGATAAAATTACTACAGATTTTTTATATTAATACATTTATGTACACTTCAAGTGTTATAAGCAGTCACATAATAGTATCACTTAATAAGGTGTTAATTATATTTTGAAATTTTTAATTAGTTTTATAGGTCTATCGCAACTAATATATGTATATGCAATTACTACTGAAATGGAAGTAGACGTTATAATTTATGGAATTTCAAAAAAGAATTTGTATTATTTATCATAATTGAGTTATAAACATAACATGGCAGTATCAGTATCAGAATCAGAATCATGGAGAGTGTAATTTATATGCGGAGATCCGCAAACTAATCGCAATGAAGGTCAAGCACAGCTTGGCACTGCAATTAATCGCAACATTGATTTTTTTAGAATGGTTCAAAATAAAGCAATGCTTAAGTCAACGAGTAAATCAGAACAGGATGCAAAACAAAATAACACCCAGTATAATGAAAAATTGGTGTGAGTTCAGGACATTACTATTATAATTTAAATATTACTAATTCTATGAGAACCTAAATTTTATTAATAAATTACAGTCAATAGTTTAAACGAAAGTTAGTATAACAGAAAATGATTTCTATTGAACTTCATACAATGCCAACCGTTTAACTTCATTGAAGCTTTACTCATAAATTCGTAGCTCTTCAATTTGTCTCCAACATGTATTGCATATATGAACGGGTCTTCTGCTGCGTTGAAGTCTTTTTCAAGAGATGTCTTCTGCAGATCTGTTAGAGCGGTTAAAGTCAAATTGTTAATATTGTAGGATTCTGTAGAATTATTAATTGATGTGTTATATGATTTATATATTATAATTTATTATATTTTAATCTATTGTAAATCATATTGTATAATTAAATTATTATAATTAATATATTATATAATTCATATATATATATAATATTTTATATGGTTAATATATGGTTAATTAATTTACCTAACTAACCCTGTATAAGATGCAATCAAACCAACGGTTCTAAGTCTTGTTTTATTGCCTTTTGTTTTTTTTGCGCTCGAGATGAGCAAATTTTATTGTTATATTTTTTGGCTGCAAGTAAACTCCGTTGGTTTGATTCTGTCTCTTGTTTTTCGATCGCGAACGTGTCAACACACGGGTACACATAAAAAAGTGATTAAACAATCAATAACCGAAATTGTATAAATTCAATTGTATAAATTAAATGAAATCAAAACCCAATTATAAAAACGTTTATAAATTACATTGTGTTAAAGAAATTGAAATAAAGATCATAAAACCCAATTATAAAAACGCTTATAATTTACATTGGCGACCGTGACAGGACTTTTTGCAATTTTAATAGTGGTTATTAATCTCCAATTTGTTAAAAAATCTAAATATTACCCACGTGTGGTAATCATTTTTTCTTTAAGTTTGTAATCATTAGTGTACGCGTGTGTGCATTTCTTCCACACGGCTATTCTGTGGACTGTCGAACGTATATTATTGTGCAATTGGTGGTTCTCGGTTTAGGTCCGCTAACCTCAAACCAGAACCTCGTGTCCGCATCAAGATCGCGCTCGACATTACAACAACAAGATACCTTTACTTGTTGATTGTACATACTTTCGCTGTTATTGTTTTTGGTTAATTTGTAACCATTAAAGTGCGCGTGTGAATATTTCTTCTAACCAGTTATATAGCTAACGCGTGCTAACTATTATAATATATCGTACATCTATATATATACTACATATGAACTATCGTACGTATATACTATTGTCCAATTGGTGGTTCTCGGTTTAGGTCCGCTAACCTCAAATCAGAACCTCGTGTCCGCATCAAGGTCATGCTCGACATTTAAAATAACAACAACAAGCTATCTTTACTTGTTGATTGTATATACTTTCGCTTTTATTGTTTTTGGTTAATTTGTAACCATTAAAGTGCGCGTGTGAATATTTCTTCTAACCAGTTATATAGCTAACGTGTGCTAACCATTATAATATATCGTACATCTATATATATATTACCTATGTACTATCGTACGTATATACTCTTGTGCAATTGGTGGTTCTCGGTTTAGGTCCGCTAACCTCAAATCAGAACCTCGTGTCCGCATCAAGGTCGTGCTCGACATTTAAAATAACAACAACAAGCTATCTTTACTTGTTGATTGTACATACTTTCGCTTTTATTGTTTTTGGATAATTTGTAACCATTAATGTGCGCGTGTGAATACTTTTTCTAACCAGCTATATAGCTAACGTGTGCTAACCATTATAATATATCGTACATCTATATATATATTACATATGTACTATCGTACGTATAAACTCTTGTGCAATTGGTGGTTCTCGGTTTAGGTCCGCTAACCTCAAAATAGAATCTCGTGTCCGCATCAAGGTCGTGCTCGACAGTTAAAATAACAACAACAAGCTATCTTTACTTGTTGATTGTACATACTTTCGCTTTTATTGTTTTTGGTTAATTTGTAACCATAATGTGCTCGTGTGAGTATTGCTCCTAAACGGTTATATATCTAAAGTGTGCTAACTTTAATAATATCGTACATCTGTACATATATACTATATACTATCGTACGTGTGTACTATTGTGCATTCTATGGTTCTCGGCTTAGGTTCTGCTAAGCGCCAAATAGAACCTCGTGTCCGCATCAAGGTCACGCTGAACAATTACAACAACAACAACAAGTTAACTTACTTGTTGATTACTGGTTAATATTTGCTTCCAATCAGTAAGTGTGCGGGTTCGTCAACGTCGCGTCTGACAACAACCACCGTAAGAGCAGTTCAATTTCGGAAAGCTCACTGTTGCTATTGTGACTTTTCGACTTCGTTAAATCCTTTGCTGTTCTCAAGTATCTACAACTGTTTCAATGGCAACGGCAGAGCCAACCACTACGGCAGAACTGTCAGAACTAAAACAACAGCGAGCATCGACGAAAGCGAGTATTTCAAGAATCAAGGCGTTCGTCAAAGGAAAGAGTAATTCGCTCTCACAACCAGAACTGAAATGTCGACTAGGTATTTTAGAATCATATTTTAAACAAATCTTAGCTTTTCAGACGTTGATCGAGAAATTAGATGCAACTGACTCAGCTAGAGATGAATTAGAAGACCTATACGTTTCCACCAAAGTATTAATCATGTCTCAACTGCAGGAAGAGGCCCACAATGCATCAGTGCTAGACGTAACAGCAATGATGCCCACCTCAAGTAAAAAATTACCACTGTTAAAATTACCTACATTCAGTGGTAAGTACTCGGATTATAACAATTTTATTAATTCGTTTCTCCAAATCATACATAGATCGCGAAATATACCTCACAAATATTGAAAAATTTAATCACTTGCTGAACTGCCTTACTGGTCAAGCTCTAGAGACAGTACAGGCATTTCCTATTTCGAATGAAAACTATCCAAAGGCTCTGGATAGGCTTAAATCGCGCTATGACAATAATAGCCTAATCTTCGCCGAAAATATCGCGACACTATTTGATCTACCAGCAGTATCGGGTCAGTCAAGCCAACAACTCCGTAGTCTGGTAAACAATGCATCCGCTTTGTATGGTTCACTCTGTTCGCTAGGTACAGAGAAACAAATATGTGAGGCTCTACTTATCTCGTTAATCATGCAAAAAACGGACGCAATTACACGTAGGAAATGGAATGAATCGCGTAACTTTGACACATTACCCAGTTGGGAAGATTGCTCAAAATTGTTGGATAGACATTGCCAGTTTCTCGAATCACTTGACAGTGGAAACGGCAATCAGTCATCATCACAACGTAAACCTAATAGTCTTAACTCCAAGACTAACAGACGCTCAAAACAATACGCATTTGTTGCATCTACATCTAGCAATTCTTGCTCATTTTGTTCTAGCAATGAACACCTAATACAGAATTGTCATCGTTTTAAGGCACTGGAGGTGGTTCAAAGATTTGAAAAGGTGAAGAGCCTAAAACTCTGCATAAACTGCTTATCGCCACGCCATCATGTGGTTAATTGTACATCAACGTTTAAATGTAAGGTTTGCGCAAAGCCACATCACACTCTCTTGCATCATTCGCAATTGCCAACGAATATTAAGAGCGCGGGATCATCACGACGCACAGAACACGCTGCTATGCCCAACGACAACGTTGCCAGCCATTCCCATCTTAATATGTCATCGGCCGAGCAAATAATTCTAGCTACTGCATTGGTTTTAGTGAAGGATTCATCGGGAAGTTATCAAGTGGGTAGAGCCTTGCTTGATTCATGCTCTCAGGTCAACTTCATAACGGAGGAGTTTTCAAAGAAGCTTAGTTTAGCAAAACATAAACATCGGTTGCATGTTTCCAGTATTGGTAGTTCGTTGACCAACATAAAGTATCAGACGCTCACATCAATCAAATCTCGTCATTCAAATCTTGAACTTGCTTTAAACTTTGGTATTATGAATCACATCGCATATCAACCAAGTTCTGAAATCGATATATCGTCGTGGAAGGTTCCACCAAATACACCTCTCGCCGATGAGCAATTCTTTAAATCCAAGCGCGTTGATCTCTTGCTTGGAGCTGAAAGTTTCTTTGATATTTTGTCTGTCGGTCAAATCAAACTAGGTGAAAATTTTCCAGTACTTCAAAAAACACTATTAGGATGGATTGTATCTGGCAAGTACAAGGGTCAGCCATTTGCATCACCAGCAGCAAAATGCCTATTATCAGTTGAAGATACAGTCTCCGATCAATTAGAAATGATGTGGAAGATAGAGGAAGTGCAATCGGCTTCAAAGTCATGGTCACCAGCACATGTTGCGTGTGAGTCATTATATCGTGAAACGGTTCACCAAAATGCGATGGGAAGAATTGTCGTTCGGTTACCATTCAAAGATTCACCAGATTGTCTTGGTTTGACACACAATATCGCCTTGCGCCGTTTTTATTCTGTAGAACGGCGATTGTCATCTAATCGTGCACTGAAGCAAGACTATCAAGAATTCATGAAACAATATCGAGAGCTCGGACACATGACGCGTGTTGAGACTCCGAAAACCAACGAACCTCATTATTATATCCCTCATCATTGTGTTTTAAAACCGTCGAGCACTTCGACCAAGCTGAGGGTGGTTTTTGATGCGTCATGTCCAACAACTTCGCAACGTTCATTAAATGATATTCTACTGGTCGGCCCGACAATTCAGTCGGAGTTATATTTGTTGCTACTTCAATTTCGTTTGCACCGATATGCCTTGACGGCTGACATTGTTAAGATGTACCGACAGATACTGATAGATGAACCAGATCGAAAATTCCAATATATTTTTTGGCGAGATACGGAGTCCGATCCTGTTAGTACTTACGAGTTGAATACAGTCACTTATGGTACTGCATCAGCACCTTTCCTAGCAACCAGGAGTTTGCAGTATTTGGCGGACAAATTTGAAACACAATACCCAATAGGCGCTGCACTCATTAAATCATCGTTCTTTGTCGACGACTTCTTAGGTGGAGCAGATTCCATTGATCAACTCACCAATATCAGACATCAGTTAACGGCCATTCTACAGAAGGGTTGCTTCGATCTTGACAAATGGCATTCAAACCATCATGACTTCATCAGCGATACTACAACAAAGAGTTTGAATCTTGATACAGATACAGTCACCAGCGCTCTAGGCATCAAGTGGCACCAAATGCAAGATGTTTTCCTATTTTCGTTTAATGCACAACCAGGTCATATTGTAACAAAACGCACCATCTTATCCCTTGCGTCTTCATTATTCGACCCGCTTGGATTACTAGCACCGATCATACTCGTAGCCAAAATTATGATGCAAGAATTGTGGCTTTTGCGTGTGGATTGGGACGAGTCAGTCCCTCAAAATCTTCACTCAGCTTGGAAAACATTTATTCAAGATCTTACAACGCTTTCATCGGTTAAGGTGCCGAGGTACTGCCTATCCATAAACTATCAACAGGTTGATGTACACGGTTTCTGTGACGCTTCAATACGCGCATATGGTTGCTGTATATTTCTCCGATCACAAAACACATCAGGTAAGGTGACGGTCAGGCTATTCACTGCAAAATCCCGTGTGGCACCTATAAAGCGGAAGTCGCTACCTAAACTAGAACTCTGTGGTGCCTTACTTCTTGCCAAACTGTATCAGAAGGTCCAACCAATATTTGCGCAATTTAAGGGTGAAACGTTTTTTTGGACTGATTCACAGATTGTATTACATTGGTTGAAGCAGCACTCATCAACCCTGTCTGCATTCGTTGGCAATCGAGTAGCGGAAATTCAAGATATTACCGCAAATGGGCAATGGAGACACGTTCCTACCCAATCCAACCCGGCAGATGTTGTGTCGCGCGGCTGTAACATCCGCCAATTATCAGAGTCTTGTTGGTTTACGGGGCCGGAATTTTTGTTACTCGCTGATAAATACTGGCCGCATTTGAAATGTCACAACCTGGATATGGAAGAAGTCAATAAAGAGACGCGAAAGGTTGTATTCGTTAACACAAATGAAGACAACTACGTATTACAGGTATTGTCAAGATATAGTTCATACACTAAGATGCTACGAGTAATAGCGCAGGTACAGCGTTTTTATCATGTAACCAAGAATAAATTGAAGAACGGAGAATGTACCCTCCAACCTATTCAGCTACAAAAGGCATTGCACTGTATTATTTGGGTCATCCAACAGCAATTCTTCGAAATTGATATACAACGCCTACAACGAGGGAACCCAGCCGAAGGTACATTAAAGCATCTAAATCCCTTCCTGGACAATGTATTCGGTTATCAATTACTAAAGGTGGGAGGTCGCCTCGAGCTGAGTGACATCTCAGTAGGCCAACGTCACCCTATTTTGTTGCCGAAGGGCTGTTATTTTGTGGAACTTTATGTTCGGCATATACACTTGTGCAACTATCATGCAGGCGCAAAAGCACTAATTGCCCTTACTCGACTAAACTTCTGGATAATTAATATTCGAGAAATTGCACGCCGAGTCGTGCACTCGTGTATTCACTGCGTGCGTTATAAACCCAAACTACTTAATCAAATGATGGGTAATCTCCCAATCGAACGCCTCACTCCAAGTCGTCCTTTCGCGCGTACTGCGGTAGATTTTTGCGGTCCGATATTAACGTATCTCCGAATTCGGGGACGGGTTCCATATAAGACCTATATAGCCGTGTTCGTTTGTTTGTCTACAAAGGCAGCTCATCTAGAAGCCGTGTCAGACTTATCTACGGAGGCATTTATTGCAGCACTGAAAAGGTTAATCGGTAGACGAGGGTTACCATCAGACATCTATTGCGATAACGCCACAAACTTCGTTGGGGCTAACAACAAACTAGCAGAGTTAAAAAGGATGTTTTTCGAGAAGTCTAATCAAGTGATGCTGCAGACCTTTTGCAGCAACCAATTCATAAATTTCAATTTTATACCGCCCCGAGCACCTCACTTTGGAGGTCTATGGGAAGCGGCTGTAAAAAGCGCGAAAGGCCATCTGTATCGAACACTATCAAATACTCGATTCACCTTTGAGGAGCTTGGAACAGCACTGATTGAAATCGAAGCTATCTTAAATTCGCGACCAATCACACCTCATTCTTGTGACCCGAGCGATTATGAAGCGCTAACGCCGGCACATTTTCTTATCGGTGGGCCGCTCAAAACTTTATCTGAACCAAGTCCTCAGTATGAAGCTGCTTCATTAATTGATAAATGGTCTCGTATAACCGCGGTCAAACATCACTTCTGGCGCAGATGGTCTAGAGACTATCTGAATGAGCTGCAGATACGCACCAAATGGACAGAAGAACAATCTAACATCACCGAGGGGGCTCTGGTTTTAATCCATGAAGACAATATGCCTCCACAACGCTGGTTGATGGGCCGAATCGTGCATTGCATCAGGGGTCCAGATAATTTGGTTCGTGTTGTTGATGTGCAAACCCCAAAAGGAGTAATACGCCGTCCAATCCACAAACTCGCACTATTACCAATTGAAAATCCTTTCAAGGGGGGCGGGATGTTAGAGCGGTTAAAGTCAAATTGTTAATATTGTAGGATTCTGTAGAATTATTAATTGATGTGTTATATGATTTATATATTATAATTTATTATATTTTAATCTATTGTAAATCATATTGTATAATTAAATTATTATAATTAATATATTATATAATTCATATATATATATAATATTTTATATGGTTAATATATGGTTAATTAATTTATCTAACTAACCCTGTATAAGATGTAATCAAACCAACGGTTCTAAGTCTTGTTTTATTGCCTTTTGTTTTTTGCGCTCGAGATGAGCAAATTTTATTGTTATATTTTTTGGCTGCAAGTAAACTCCGTTGGTTTGATTCTGTCTCTTGTTTTTCGATCGCGAACGTGTCAACACACGGGTACACATAAAAAAGTGATTAAACAATCAATAACCGAAATTGTATAAATTCAATTGTATAAATTAAATGAAATCAAAACCCAATTATAAAAACGTTTATAATTTACATTGTGTTAAAGAAATTGAAATAAAGATCATAAAACCCAATTATAAAAACGCTTATAATTTACAAGATCTATGTGAAATATGACAAAGTCACTTTTATATTTAGTGATTTTTATTTAGTTATTTTTAGTTATCTAATTTTAAATCATAAATCAGTATTAACTGTAAGTCAAGCCAAATAGGAACCGTTTAAAATTACGCCCTATAGTGAAGGTATGGGCATATATAGGTGCATGTAGTTATGAATAGCAGTTTAGGCTAGGTTTCAATTTGATGCCCTTTTTGTTCTAAGTGATATAATAAAAGATATAGACGGAACTCATTTCTTTTTGCTTAAAATTGTTTAAAAAGAGAAATCTGAAGACCTCTCAGTTTTTATACAAAATATATCAATAATATTTCTTGGTGAATCGCTTTTTCTTTAAACTTTAAGCTTTATAAAAAGTTAATTTAATTGACTTATTTGATTTTCTCAACTTAATTTATAATATTACTTATAAATATAACAATCTTTTTATTTTAGTACTTGAATATGTTGGACCGAAATACAGAACCTTTGTGGCAAACATGTCAATTGCCATTTTCTTCACAGCTGCAGCTTGTATGCTTCCTTGGATTGCTTATTATTTAGCAGACTGGAGACTTCTAACAATTGTCACATCAGCACCATTAGCATTGGTCATTTTAACACCCTGGTTAATTCCAGAATCTGCTCGGTAAGTACACATGTAAATTAAGTCTCTAAGGTAGAATATTTAAATGATTTAATTAATACAGGTGTATCCATATTTCATATTTCAAGCCAATCTATTATTTTAAGTATTCTCTGAACGTATTACAAATTTAATTTAAACTTAATACAGATACCTTTGTAATTCGTAACAGTTTCAGAAGTAGTTTGTCTTTTAAAGTCAATTATTATTGATAGTCTTGCCCATGACATAAGAAAATGTATGAGCTACACTAACAACAATAAAATATTAATAGTACCTAGTTTATTCAAATTATATTACTTCACCCAAAATCTGTTTTTATTATTAAGAAAACTATTAATCATAGTAAGACTATCCTTTTAGAGATTGTTAGCCAGCTTTAACACCTCTCCTCTCTTTAAGTTAAAGATTTAAGGTGATTTATAAACCGATAAGTCTTTATAAGGTAGCACAATAGACCAAATGGCTTAAATGGATACCTAGGATTGTCGTTAATAACTTAACCTATAATCTAAGACATATCATCTTGTATTTATATCGCTCTGTATCACAATTTCTAATTTACAATATATTTTATAATTCATTTCAGTTGGTTGGTGTCTCAAGGAAAAACCGATAAAGCTGTGAGCATACTGAAGAAATTAGAAAAAATCAATCGCAAACATGTTCCCGCAGAAACATATAAACATTTCTCCGATAGTTGCAACAAATTGCGTCAGGAAGAGAACAAAAATTGTAACTACTCTGTTTTAGATCTCTTCAAAACGCCGAGATTACGTCGCACAACACTCTTGTTAATTGTAATTTGGATGGCTATATCTTTAGTGTTCGATGGACACGTAAGAAATGTAGGCTCATTAGGTTTGAACATCTTTTTAACTTTCACAGTGGCTAGTTTTACGGAACTACCAGCTGATACGCTACTCACAATAACTTTGGACAAATGGGGCAGACGTTGGTTAGCCTGCGGCACCATGGTATTAAGTGGAGTTTTCAGTCTGTTGGCAACAGTAGCGCCAGTTGGCGTCTACTCTGCTACATTAGCCATAGTAGGCAGATTTTTTGTTAATATATCTTACAACATTGGTCTACAGTATGCAGCTGAAATCTTGCCAACAGTGGTGCGTGCGCAAGGTGTGGCTTTCATACACATAATGGGCTATGTGGCTAGTATTATAGCACCTTTCGTAGTTTATCTAGCAAATATATCACCTATGCTGCCACTTATTATATTAGGTGTTTTGGGCATAATTGGTGGTTTGTTAGCATTACTACTACCCGAAACATTAAATCATGACCTACCACAAACGCTCTCCGATGGTGAAGAATTTGGTAGAGGTCAAAGCATTTGGGATTTCCCTTGCTTGGCGAAACAAGTGGATGATTCCAGTGATGTAGAAATAAGAAGTCAACATTTCGTACGTTCCACTCAAACCGGAGCTTCATTGACTGCGTCCACCAGAGGTGAATTGCGCTCCAGCATTTTACGTAGATCGGTACGTTCTAGACAGTCAACGAGAATGTAAGCAGGCTGTGGTTTTCGAAAAAATCGTTACTAAAAATCCTTGAAGAAAAAACTATTATGTAAGAGTATTATATAAGTTAATGTTTTCAACTAAATGTAATGTAAACTATGTAGTAAGTAATTTATTATTTTAAGTGCTAGTCAATTACTGTTGTAGAATGTGCTCAAAATTGTTTATGAGGTAATCGCATCAATAGTTTCAATTAAAAATATATGTTCACAAAATATAATTTAAAAATGTAAGTTAATGCATATTAATGTGATATTAGCCATTATATATATACTTTTAAGAACGAGTAATATCTCATATCTTTTTAGTTATTTAAGTATCTTTCATATTCGTACCAGTACACCTAAGAAAAAATAAATTGTCGTTTAAGTAAATAAATGCAATAAACAATCGATTATTTGGTCATATAAGACGTTGTTTTCTATATATATATATATATATTGTATATTGTGTATAAATCTGCGAATTCCTTCGCTTTAATTTATGTACACCTTTAATAATAAAATATAAAAGCAAAAAAAAATTATTAAGAATTTACATTAATACTTGAAATATTCTGAGGTGTCAATTAGAGAAGTTTTTTACATCAATAGACCATTATTTCGAGCGTAAAACGATTTTGATGGATGGTGTTGATTAATGATTATTACAAGTTGTTCATGACGATTGAGATTACAGTATTGAATAATTTATTAGTGAAGATATTACGGATATGGTTGTATTTTCAGCGCACAGCACATAGTAACACACTATACACAATACGAGTATTATCTTGTATTGTATACTTTAATTTTGTCATTATAAATTATTATAAATAAGTTTTATGTTCGTACTTTTTCCTACAAGATGACTTGATCTAAGACGAAAAGTTTTTTTTTAAATTATCAAGTGCAATCAGAGATACATTGCCTGAAAGAGTACGTTGTTCATGCGCAGACGAGAAGGACCCCAAAATGGACCGCAGTAATTAGCGTACAAACAAAGGCACGCCTCCCCAAGCTTACCTGATAAATTTATAAACTTAGCGAAGTTCTAATTTTATTGGATGACAGTCCCTACAAATCGATTGGGCATTGAAATTAAATCCCAATTTATAGGAACATTTTAAGCCAAATTTCTATCTTTTATTTCCAGAGAATAAATTTTCTACATGCAGTAAGAATTTGGACAGGACAAGTTAAGACAAAATATGATCACGTCCTATACAGTATATGCGCCAACCCGAATACACATAACACCAATTTCAACCCAACTGATGTGTGTATTTCATTTAATTGCGAAATTATAGTTCTTGAACTGAAACTCGAACCCGGTTTATATATAAATACTGTCCTATCTTTCCCTTTCACACTTTTCGATTATTAAACATAAAAATAGTTTCATATTTTTTAATAAACCTATATAATCTGTTTTTATTGAAAAACATTTCTTTATATATTAAGTTTTATAAAGTTTTTTTCATAATCGTTTTCATTCATTAACTTCACAGAAAAATGCGAAGAACTTCTAAAGTCTCAGTTGTTGTATTTAGAATATCGATTAGCACCTTTAGCTGCTAAAAATTATTTACTTAATTTTCATTATAACCAATAAATTCACACCAAAACGTCTGTCAAGCGCTCAAATATTTAAAATATTTTTAATTTTTAATCGAGAACTTCACGCATGTGTGGTATATCCCCACCAATCCAATTATGAAATCAGTCGCAGGCTGACTCATTACAAACTAAGTGCGTTCGAGTGTTGGAATTTCTGTAGAAATGGGTTTTTAGCGCCCAAGTTGCATTTTGCGTATGTGAAATGAAAACTGGACTTATCAGCTTCCGCTCCTCTCAGAAGTACTTACAATCTTGTTCTGCGAATTGCTGTCGTCGCATTTCAGCAAAAAGAAAACTTTCCCGCATTGTTTTAATTACTCTTTATTTGTCACTGATATTAAATAGGAATTTAGTGTTATTTAATAACCAGAAAATGAGAATGTTTTTTTAGCAATCTAAGATAAAATCTTTAAAATGTTTAACATGAATATTATTATAAAATACAAACGATCATCAGTTGAAAAAACCTAACAAAGTAAAACCTAAAGTCTAACATTTTAGGTTATTCTATAATATTAAACCGGTCAACCAATTTATACCAACGTGTTCTTATTTTCTTTAATTGCCTTTAGTCCATAGGACCTAATCGAGAGTTATACAGCCTGCAGAGAACAGCAGTTATTAAAGCAACAAATAGTATTAGCGCTGTTCTAACAGTTTACTTAACGATAATCTTCACTTATTTCGTATCTTAATCTTATCTATCCAAAGAATCATAAGTCCTAGAAAAGTCGTTAGAGAGTATACCAAGTTTTGTTGCTTGCTTTCTTAACAGATAACGACCTTTCAAAACCGATACAGTGGTACTTAGTTGATTCCGCTTTAGTTGGAGCACCTGACTGGTAGGAATTTTATCTAATTTACACCAGGTGAATCTTGTAATGTGATAAGAAACTTCAACTACCTACGATTTCAGTGACAACCCAAAGTGATTGTGTTTAATTGCCAGTTTAGCAGAAAGATATCGAAATCTTGGTTGTGAATATTAAAGAGTCGCTTAGTCATATGGGTCCTAGTCGCTTAGTCTAGGAACCCATATGAGGTGGAAATCCACAATGCTAGCCAACTCGTTGAAAATTCATTGGAATCTCAAACACAAGAGATTCACTTGTAGCACTTAATAGAGATATTATTGCAGATTGGTTTTTCAATATAATTGTGATATTCGTAACAGAATCCAGAATTCATTGAACATAGCATAGTGTATCAGTACTAGCTCTATTTAAAAAACACTATAATAAAAATTTTATGTAGAACTTTAACTATACATTAACAGATAAGTATCCTAATGGTAGCTAACTACTATAGCTATTTTGATAATTAGCAATTTATTCAAACGTGTTTTAGTATAGAGGTGGGTAGGTCTTCAGCAAGACTACCTTCCACCTCGTTATAAAATCAATAACTTATATCAATTAAAGTCAAAGATTATTTTTCGTTCATTTTCAGCAAAAAGTCAAAGCAACTCAGCTATTGTATTCCCTAACAAGAATTTATAATTGATAGATAGAGCAGAAGTTTTTAAAATAATAAAATGGTATATTTGGTATATTTTTACATCTACGCTGGGCTTACTCCTTTGTCTCTCTTGTAAATACTACAAGGAGTGAATAACGTCAAAATACTCGAACACTTTTTATACTAGTGCACCCGATGATAATTACTTACTTATCTGGTCATTTTAATCTATTACCGAGTTTCGACATGACGCAGCATGTCTTTCCATGGTGCCATTACTACCTGCACGCCTTCTCCAGTCTCGTCCATCAAGTTAAGTGCTCCCTCAACTTGATCACTCCACTGGAGACACTGTTTATTCAACTTCCTTCTACATTTAACTTCCATTTTAAACACCTTTGCGACTGGAGTATCCGTCATCCATTCTATCGACATGATCAAGCAAAGCCGTTGGATGTTAATTCGTGGAATTATATCAACGTGATAAAGCTCGTACATGCGGCTACGGAAGTCGTCAACTCATAGAGAACCAAAGATCTTACGAAATGCTTTTCTCTCGAGAACTCCAAATTATAATTGTATGCAATAATAATAATCTTTCTATCTCGCTTAACTACTTACTATGTGTACACTTTATATAAAACGATTTATGTGTATTAGCCATAACGACTTGAAGAAATTGTTGAGAACTTATACCGTACATGTAGGCTTATCCTACATCGCTCAAAAATAGTTAACATTGTTAAATTACGTCAAATATTTTGTTTTGACACATGACAAATCGATAATGCATAATTTATAATGCATTTCCATTTATAACCAAAATTTATTTGTAATAAAATTTATAATTATGGCAAAATCATAATATTATATAAGGAGTTTATGTAGCAAGCACTTTTAAATACAGGTGAGGCGTTGTTTCACGGGTCACTCCTGAAATATATGGATACTCTCTTCGAACTTAAAAAAAATCATTCTACTGGATTAGTTTGTAAGATCCAACGGATCGAAACGCATTGTTATTAATGCGATATTTCATAGAGCTACCAAACTAGGTTATTAATTAGTTGGTCCATTATATTATTAGACGGCGCCCTTCTTCAACAGGGCAGAACTGAAGTGTTTAGCTAATTACTGACTTACTTTCTGATCAAAAAGTTCGTGAGTGATAAGATAAACGTCATCCTTATCTGAAACTGCTTATTCACCAGAGTCAGAGAGATACTGATCCTATAGTTATGGTTTTCTTATGTGATTAACAACTGTTGAAAAAATAATTTATTCTTATTATATCTAAACGTTCAAGGTTTGTGGCAATACAAAATATCTTTCAAAGTTTAATAAATCACAAGTGATTATATACAAAAGATATTTTCAATTAAAAGAAATCTTAGCATAGGAAACCCATGAACATCATTTAATAAAGTAATTAAATCAGAAATTCAGAATAACTTCAACATCATAAAATAAATGAAATTAAACAATTATTTAAAATTATTGGTAATAAAACAGTAAATTAGGCACTATAAAATGTACTTCTTCGTTACTAGTTTTTTTAATACTAATAGCTTAAATTAAAAAATAATAAATTCTTACAAACTAAACATTATAATATTTTAACACACTGCCAGTAAAACTATGTAATAACGTCACTCATACATTACAACAATAATAAAACAATAACAAAAGCAACAACAGTGAAGACGCATCGAATTAAAAAAAATAATAAAGCAAAAGGCAGATAAAAATATAAATAAAAATACTTTTTTTATAGTAAATCCCCTCATATTATATTTTTTATGTTAAAACCCAGATAACGCAATAAATACTATTTATATTAATACTATAATAATATACTATAAATAGATGTTTTTTATTATATTAGGCTCGTAAGATATAGCACTCCCGAGTAAAGAATGTATTGATAATCTCACTACGATCTGGGACCTCCGCGAGAAAGAGGTTAAAATTTTCCCGATGTAAGGCATGTCTGCCGTGAAACGTGATTAAAACTTAGTAGACACCACTCGATCATTTTTTAAGTGTAAATGGTAGTGAGTGCGTTTCATTTGCGACACTCGACCGAAAGTGTGTATCTGGTACTAAGGGGGTCGGAACCTTCAGCTTTGGTTGTACTAATTGAAATTGGGGCTGTGGATTAAATCCAAAGTTATACGGAAAACTTTGACTGTATTTATTACTTTCATTCAATGTGAAGATGTGTTTTCTAACCGGGTGCTATATTCTAAAGCAGAGCTGTACAGACCAGATGCAATCGCGGACAAATACAAATTACTGTACAGATTGGATGACAGCAGAAACAAATACATACGTTCTTAGTTTTTATAAATACATTATAACATTATAGATACGGTTATAATGTTAAATTTAGTTTTATTAATATATCAATTTAAATTCATTTATTTGATATATCATAAAAATAAAATAATATGGTTTTACCGGAAAATTAAAATTTGCATAATTGTAGTAGATTAAACATGTAGTTTAGATAGCCCTGCTCTAAAGAATAGCATAGGTGTTTGATAAACCTCGTTCCCTTCCAGGGTGGAAACTATATCCAAACTTATAGTTGCAATTGGTACTGACAAATTTCCATGCAATTCTAATAGGAGCGCTTGTCGTCGCATTACACTGATACATATATAATCTAGCAGGTGATTACATTAAAAACCTATGGAGTCTGTGCCTCGCTATATCCATTTTTAAAAAAAATATATTTAGTGACTCTTACTAACTTACTTGGCCATTACAGAACTCAATTGTCTTTGGCCGCGTCCAATAGCCTCTTCGAGCCAACCCGATCAGCGGCTTGCTGTCGTCAGTTTGTAGTACCGAGTACCTTTATATCGTTGGTCAACTGCTCCTTCTATCAACAATGCAGAAATCCTCTACCACGTTTTCCGCTAGCGGATACTGAACCAAACTAAGCATTTTCTTCCATTTTAGTGACTCTTGAAATATTTAATCATTTCTCATATGTCATCATACTGACAGTTTTTGGGGTTATTGAAACCAGTCACTTGCCAATATGTCTTGTGGAATATTTTATTATTAAATAAAAAATTTGATTAATAAAATCAGTTATAACATAAATAACTATGTATTTCCTTTATAAAAACTATTATTTTTATGGAGGTCTGTCTTCGAACAGTATTGAATAGCAACAACAAAATTTTATTATTTTTAATTAAATTATATTAAATAATTATTTTTATACGTGAAATGTCATACTTTCCTTTGAAACTTTTAACCAACTTCAATTATTTAAATTTATATTAAGCTTGAGCTTAATATAAACGACGAAGCCTCCAAACAAAGTTTGGAGATTTGCCCTTTTCACTGACAGAACTCTACACAAAAGCTGTGCAATTAAATTGTAGTTTTTAAAGCAGTGAAACAGTAAAAGCTCACCTGTTGAGCAATTTAGTTATTTAGATGATTTGCATAAAGCACATATGTAAACTGATATATGTTAGTCTGTGAGTAAATATATATACACGCAGCTGCTATGCATACTAAATGCTTCCTATTGAAGCTTTACGACTCTTTGTTCGACGCCAGGCTGGTCTTGGTAGTTTAGTCTCTGGTCGCAAGCGCGCAAGCCAATACCGTTGAGTGGTCGATTGGTTGTCGAAGCGGTGCGATTTTAACATAAAAGAATCAAGAAAAAAAAATAATACTTACAAAATTTAATTTATTGTTTGAAAATTATTATAATTAGCATTTTTTTTTTTAATAAAACAATAAAAAATCTTGCATAAAATGTGGAAAACGAATGTTTTTGGGGCACTTTTAGCTTTCAATTATTTATTGGGATTTTGTTTTGGAGCCGAGGTAAAATAAATTTATTTATATCGAGCGAAAGTAATTAAGTTAATGATTTGCACAGATGCTGTGGCCAGATGACAATGCCCACATGAACGCAACCTTAACGGAAATACTTAAGCCACGAGTCGTTGGTAGCGCAGGTCATAAACAAGTACGAGAATTTATAATAAGGTAAGCGCAGTGAAAAAAAATAAAAAAAATATTCAATAAAACAAATAATATATTATATAAACATTACATAAATAAATTAGAAAACAAAACGTAATAAACAATTGTAAATAATGATAAAAGCTGCATTAATGGCATTACGCCTATAAATCATTTCAGAGAGCTTAACTCTCTCGGCTTCAATACGGAAACAGATCAATTTTCAGAAAAAGTACCAATATTTGGCAAGGTCACATTTACAAATATTATTGGTTCTATAAATCCCAATGCGGACAACTTTTTGGCCTTATCGTGTCACTACGATAGTAAATACTTCGCTGATAATCCAGAGTTTGTGGGAGCAACAGATTCTGGTGTGCCCTGTGCAATTTTACTTAATACCGCTAAGACCTTGGCTCCGTACTTGCAAAGACAGTTTAAGCAACGTAATGATATAGGATTAATGGTAAGATACTGTATTAGTGGATGTTTTAAATAAATCTATAATTAATCAATTATTTGATTTTACATTTTAGCTTATATTTTTCGATGGTGAAGAAGCCTTTAAAGAATGGAGTAATACCGATTCGATATACGGTTCACGTCATTTGGCTAAACAGTTAGCAACTCCAAGAAGTTTAATTGACTGGTCACGCAATATTGATAAAATAGTAAGTTGTACTTCACCATCGTAGTATAAATATAGATTGTAGTAGTAAAATAATAATTTTCTATGTTCTATGTTTCTATGTTTGAACTTCATATATTTGCGATTTCAATTTAATTTATATATGATTCTTTTTTTAGGAAGTCCTTGTACTTTTAGATTTGATCGGCGCTGCAAATCCCAAATTCTATAGTTTTTATCCAAATACCAATGGTCTACATAACAGCCTTTATAATATTGAAAGAAAATTAAGCTCAACTCAGAATTTAGAAGGACATAATTTTATGTTTATAAAGAAACATTCACAGGGATTCATTGATGATGATCATCGTCCATTCTTACAAGAAAGTAAATATTATTTAAAACGAGTATTTATCTGTGATTTTCAAGACTTTAGAAACAATTCCTTCGTAAGTAATCTTTATTAATCAACTCAAATTTTTTTATTCTTTAAAGATGTACCAATATTGCATTTGATCACCACACCTTTTCCAAATCAATGGCATACGCCAGCAGATACAGCACAGAATTTGGATTGGCCTTCTATACGTAATTTTAATAAAATATTTCGTAAGTTTGTCTACGACTATCTCATCCTACACAAGGAACCAGTCAATTTACGTACTTTACAATTCCAATAAAATTGTCAACACTATATAATATTTTTTCTTTTTTTTTCTGTATTTTTGTTTGTTTAAAAAATTCATTAAATATTTATTTCAAATTATAACTTATAACTGTAAATATATATTACACACCATAGGCTGATATTAAATAAATCACCTTCTTTTTCTACCAATATGTGTTTTCTTTCCGGGCGCTCTTTGACCACGATTACTTTTAGGTTTCTTGGCAGCTTTGCGGCTTCCTTTACCCTTCTTCGCTTTTTTACCAGTGTTATTAGCTTCATTAGCTTCTCTCCTGAAAAAGCAAAATTAAATTTGTTTATTATTATTTCGTAATAGAATAAATTATATAATAAATTCAATTAAAATGCCTCTTTCGTATATATGCACTAGCGCAACTAATGGAATAATTAATATAATTTTAAATGATTTATTTACAATAGCAATGAATATTTTTGATTTCATTGTTGTAAGAACTTAATTGTTTATTCTGTTATTGTTTTTTTTTTTTTGTATATTAATTTGACCTAATTTATGTTGTAAATTTTATTAAAGTTTTTAGTTCAAATCAATAAAAATTGAATTATACTATATGGAGGTGTTGTGCTTGTAACCAGTGTTCATGTGTGCTGTGTCATTGGAAATGTTGAAGCTCCAATTGATATAACAATATGTTTTTAAATTAAATTCCACATATTCTTCTGTTCAAAGAGATGTAGATTTATGTAAGAAAATAAATGCATCGACTCCTAATACCTATGCACGCTAACTGCAGCTTTACCTCCTGATGTCACCTATATCTTTTCTTTTCCTAATACACATACCAACTTAGGTCCAACTTAGGTTTCAGATTGGCTTCAATCAAAATCCCATTCACCGCCAATCCATTCTCGATCCTCTTATACTACCCTTATCTAATCTACCTATATCTATATATACGAATTTGTAATTTCTTCCATGGTATCTGCTTAATATTTTCCGTGGATTACAACAAGAACAACAATCCAAATGAACAAAATGAATTTTGAATAGAGTATTCTAGGATAACTGAGACAAATTATATAGTTTTTCAATATATGTGAAGTGATGTATGGAAGATGTGGTCATTCTTCCCACTAAAAACATATAGTTTCTTTTCTTTGATTCATGAATTTTTATAAAAAGTGACAAAGCAATAAAAAGTGGTAAAGCAGTATGTACATATGTAACAATAATTTTTTTTTACTTTGTCATCTTCAAATAAATAAGCATATATTTTCTTCCATTCATAAATTTTTACAAAACATGATCTGCTTAAGCAGTAAAAATTAGCAACAATATAAACAATTTTTTCAAATGTATGTTGTGATCTTTAACAGAATTGTATTGCTTAAACAGAATTGTATTAATTTCTGTTAAAATCATAATAACAAAATATATGGTGTCAAAATATAATGTCGATTGTGTTCACGGGCTAAAGCAAATTGTTGTTGGACACCTAATGTTGGAACACTTCAACAAAAGCTCTAGAAAGTATAAGAGCGAACTGCGACATCTTATAGAATTTATTATTTTTGTGTAAAATCGCAAATAAATATATCATAAATAAGACATAAATACTTACTCCATTCTTGCATCTTGTTTTTGCAATGAAATAGCCTTTTCCACATCGAATTTGGGTTTTTTATTAAGCACACTTTTAATTAAATCCAAATTAGCTTCTTTTTCGGGTTGATCACCCAAATGAGAAGCTTTGCGTTTACCTCCGGGTATCAACTCTTTAACACCTTTACCACGTGCTTCTTTTTCCTTAGGTAAGTTTTGTTGAAATTTGCCAATCGACGCTGTTGACGATTTTGCTACTGTAACTGCAGTCAATAGTTGACTTGAAGATGCTGCTTCCGCACCTAAGTAACCAGTGCGTGGTACATTCACTTTTCTAGCTCTAACAATATTTCTCATTCGCTGTATTTCATTCTTCGCCACTTTTTCGCTACGCAAATCAATTTTCTTTTGGAACATGTCTTCATTAGGATCCACATTTTTAGGTACCTCCAACACCCAATCGCGTTCTTTTTCTGCTTCAGCACGTTTGTAACCATATGCTGGTACCCATTTCTAAATATATTTCAATATTAATTAATTATAATAATAAAAATTATATTTGATTAGACTTACATCCAAAACTTGATCGTAAGTTTTCTTATCTTTAGTCTTCTTCTTAATGCCCTTTTCTTTAGCGAATTTTTCCCATTTTGTTAGTGGCTTAGGTCCCGGAACCTTTCTTAAACGCGGTAAAACTGTTGTCGGTGCAGGTAACTTAGCTACAATGCACTCATCCACCCGCTCAGTTTGCAGTTCCCAAATTGCGTTTATAATCAACTGTGTGTTGTCTCTTGTTAAGGCTGTTAAATAATTTTCTTTATTGTTTCTGCAAGAATATCATACTTTATATTATTTCTTTACTATATATTTTACATTGTAAACATTTACTTTAACTCTTTATTTTCTAAGTCATTTGGATCAACGCACAACATCATTCCCACATCAAGCCGACACTCTAAATGCTTTTCTACTGTTATCGGTTTATACTTCTCCAAATCACGTTTTTGCTTTTCCAAAACCTCTTTAACTACATCCATAATTATTATATTTTGATTCTTAACACTCTTTTCTAATTTTTATCGAATGAAAACAATTCAACATCAGCCGCTAATGAAGAATTGCTTACCCACGTGCAGTTTGGTTGTATACGAAAAAAATAGTGTTGCCAGAGTTTACCATTTTTCAGCGCATTTCCGAACGGTGCGGTTTTAAGCAAATGTTGTTTCTGACAGAAATTTTGTTGACAGTTTTAAGTATGTTCCCATTGTCTTGCTAACGAAATTTAATTAAATGCAACTTGCATATTTTTTTTAATTAGTTAAGATAATATTAAGAAGCCAAAAAATTATGGAAATTTGACATATTTGCACATGACACAAAATGTTAATAAACAAAAAACAAATAAGGGCCATGGTAGGACCTTGTTATGCAGTGTCTCGGGCACGGCATGAGTACAATTGTTATTGTTTTCAATGCAAGTTTTAAATTTGAGAATGAGTGAAAAAACATTATGACCGTTCAAACTCCGGCGCGAGAGCCGGCGTATTTGTGCCCTAAGTCAAACAAACAAGAGGTAAGAAATTTTTATGTTTGTTTTATATATATACAAAATATTTCCATATTTTGCGTTGTTCATGATCAATTAATTAATTTCGGCTAACAATAAAAAAGATAAATATCTGCTAACAATTGAAATGTAAACAAATAAAAGCCTATAACAGTACTTTCTGATACAAAAGCTTTTTCACATACATAAAATAAACTTATATCTATGGAAACAACCAAATCTTAATTTGATTAAAATAAATCGAATAAAGAATCTATAAATTACATAGATTATTTACATAGCTTTTCTTACATACATATATTTTAATAATACGTTAAATGCAAATATTTACAGAATATTAACATTTAGTTTGCTCAAGCTTTATGTTTGAAGCTTGTATTGTTCGCTATCTACTACAAAAGTAATTTAAAATAGTTTTTATAGTTTTCTTTTTTGATTTTTATTATGTTCTTGACTTTTATAATATTCTTTTATGTATCATCAAATCATTAATGAAAAAAATGGACCTGGATGTCGGTACATTCCGTTAATGTTCACTCGTCGCATATTATTTGTAAGTGAGATGTTTGAAGTACATACACACAAAGCAAATATATATTAAATTTTGATTGATTTTATAAAAGATGCTTGACAAGCTGTTAAACAACCCAATACACTGGCAAAATACTTCCAGAAGTACAGACTAGGTCCTAGGTTACTAATACTTAAAAATGTGGTTGCTATTATTGAGGTAGAACTTACTTGATTGTTGTCAACTAGTAGATGTGGTTGTTATTCATAATTACCAAATCCTAAAAGGCTTTAATTAAGGTTGTAAAAACATACTATTACGTATTCTTAAGTAGAACGGTGTTCCTATTCAACATAATAAACGTCTAATAACACAGTAATGAATAAATCATTCATATTACTGTAATATAGTGTTTATATAGGCCGTGTGCGAGTTGGAGTAAATTGAAATTTCCTAGGAATTTTTTGCACTGCACTTATGTAAATATTTATTTATTTATTATTATTTACATATTTTTTATTTTTGGTTAAAAGTTTTTAAACTTATTTATTATACACATTATAAAATTTTCACAATGGTAACACCTAATTTATCTAAGTTTTTTTTAATTTACCCTACTCGAAATTCTAGTAAATACTAACATTCGCTGTCATACCGACATAATTCATTTTTTCCCTCAATTCAAAACCGTCAATTTACTCGAACTCGCACACGGCCTATTACACCAAATTGTTTGATTTCTTCAAGTTTTGTTGGCAACCCTGTAAACGTAATAAACGTAAGAAAAGCCGTGCGGTAATGTTTGTTTATCAAAACAAAAAAGGACCAAAATTCCGTCGTGACACCGCAAAATATGTAGAAAACAATCAAAACGGGAATGGACCCACACAATCCCTAACCTAATTTGTTTTTTTGTACTTAAAATATTGGAATGTTGCGGCTACGCAAACTTGAAATTACGGTGTACTTCAGTGTTTACATTGCCTACCTCATTTACGGCCTGTGGAAATTGTATCAAGTGCGGAATGACATAATACGGACTGCCATATTTCAATTTGCAGAGGGCTGGAAGCTGCTAGAGCGACCACGCGATGACAGTAACGATGAACTGGAAAACTTCACAGCATATATCATTGGTAATTGGCACTGGTATGTGTTGCATATATTTGTTAGTATATTTGCATGCAACAGGTGGCCACAATATGGAAGCATATTTCATGCTCTTGTGAGCATTGTGGCGTTAGTGGTGAAAATGCAGCTGCTCTCATTGTGCATCATCACTCTACTGCTGATATCTTACTATACAATGGCTACTTATAATTCTAAGCTTTTGACTTGGTTCTTATCAATTTTATGGATGGTTTCGATTAATCTCATAAAGAATAGTACTTATATTTATGCTGAACTGGGTTACAATGAATACTTTACCTTAATTGTTATGCTCTCGTGGTGTTTGCTGCGTTGCTGCAGCTTTACGCTCAGCTGTAGCATTGATAGGAAGACTGGTTCATTAGAGAAACACAACAATACTTATACGCTAGTTAATTTTCTTGGTTATGTGCTTTACTATCCAACACTTGTGTATGGTCCATTCTTGGAATTTCATCGTTACATGACACCCATACAAACGCGTCGTTCAATTGAAGTGCAATTTGTCAAAATCATGCAATTATTATGGGAATTGGTTCGTGTATTATTTTGGTGGCTTGTCTTGCAATTATCGCTGCACTTCTTCTATGTACACTACATGGCACGAGATGTGACAGCTGTTAAACTGGTTCATCCAGTATTTGGACAACATGCAGTTGGCTATTATATGGGCCAATTTTTCTTTCTGTATTATATTATAACTTATGGTTTGGGCATTGCTTTTGCTCACTTCGACGAGCTAAATCCACCAAGTCGACCCCGCTGCATTGGGCGCATACACTTTTATTCGGATATGTGGAAATATTTCGATGAGGGACTATATGAGTTTCTGTTCAAACATATATACTGCCAACTCTGTGCCAAAAATTCTTCACTTGGCCGTAAACTGTTCGCCACTGCCGCTACATTCGCCTTCGTCTATGCCTGGCACGGTTGCTACACATACGTACTTATTTGGAGTGTCATGAACTTCTGCTGTCTGGTAGCCGAGAAGTTTTTCAAAGCGCTGGTGGCATCGCCCGCATATATAAGCAGAGTAAGTAAACGTTAATCAGATACAATCGAAAATTATTTTAATGTTTTAATATTTTAGGTGCACAGTGTTTTTGGTATCAAAGGAACGCAGTATTTGAACGCTTTTCTGGCTACACAACTTTTCATACCCGCCGCATTTTCCAATGTTTACTTTATTAGCGGCAAGGAAGTGGGTGATTTTTTGATGCGTGGTGCTTACATGAGCGGCTGGGGCAACTACATCGCTCTTTCAGTGTGTAGCTTCTGTTTCTTCCAATGTTCCGAATTGATATTAAATGTTCGAAAGCAAATGTGATTCGTTTTAAGTTTACTTAAATATGTAAATTTTGTAAATATGTTTAATTATATATGTATTCAGATTTAATAGTTATTTAATATGCATATTACTAACTTTATAAGAAGTTTTCATTATAACATATGTATGTATTCATTGAAATTATAATTGGTTTGTATATTTTATCTACATCTGTATCACAAGCAACTGCAATTTATGCTATCAGTTGCTTGGAATTTGTAGTTAATGTCGAGTTGAGTTATATGGTAAAAACATATTTATTAAAGTAATAATTGTATATATTGTATTTAATGTGTATTATTTTTATAAACTTTCTTTCGCTCTTATTAAAAGTTGAATAAGATTTCATCTATGCTTGATTATTAGTTGCGCTTTCATTGATAGCTACAAATCAAATACATACCGCTCTACTTAAACAAATAATGTATTATAACTAATTTTTGAGAATTTTTTGTATAAATAAGTGGAAGTCATTAGAGTTTTGAGTTTCTTTATTTGTATATGTATATAACGATGGGTCTAATATTAATTTAATCATATCATTATACTCTCAAAACAGGGATTAGTCAAAATAGACTGGCCAATCTTCGGGTTATTCTATAAGTTTACTTCAACCTCTAACCTCTTAATAAGTATAATATATTGGTTATGTAGCAGTATGTGTTTCATCCTTACAAAGAAACAAAAAACAGGCTATCAGCCATGCAGTGGTGGAGCTAGACCAACTCTGCACGACGGCGACATCAGAATTGCGAGGCCCCCTCTATAACCCAGTTGTAAAAGTAAATAAGTTACATTCACTAATACGACAAATCATGATTGAAAGTTTTATTGTTAATCAATTTAAAATAAACACAAATTAAAGTAAATGATTTTTCCTACATTTAGCCTAACTCAATTCTTTTTAAAATTATATCATAATTTGCGCCAGCTGTTATTTTTGCTCCCATTTATAGAATTTCCAATAGAGATAGTCTCTCTTGGATCATCATACTTTTGTAGTACGTCTTAATCAATTTTAACTTTGAGAAGTTTCTTTCCGTCAAAGCTATACTGACTGGAACTGTGAACATGAATCTGGTTACTATATAAACATTCGGCAACACTTCGAATATGGTTAATGCCATTATCAAACAAAATTGTTCAAAATATTAATTAAGTACTTAAAATCTACAGTCGGTAACTTCCTGCGAGGCCCCTATGGGCGCGAGGCCGTCGGCGGTCGCCGACATCGCTGACGCCTAGCGACGCCACTGCAGCCATGCTTGTATTTTTTTTAAGCTTTTGTTCTCTACAAAGGCCGGCCACCTTAGAATATTCTTATCATTTTGGAAAGTGTATTCTTCTAAAAAAAAAACTGCAGTTCAAAGATGTGTTAATGATTATAAGAAATTTACTTTATCAGGGGCTTATAGGTTAAGTCCTAAAAATTATCGTAAAAATTTCATAGATTTTTGTTCTATAAACGGTCGATTGGCTCTAATAATACCCATTACATTTTCTGGAAGTTGTTGTCTTTGTCATTGCAAACAATTGTTAGGATATATGTACATTATTGTCAGAAAATAAGTTCTCCCACTATAGTTTAACAAGTTCAAAATCAAAGAAAATGCAGTAATCTTCCACACCACAGCTTTTACTTGGCAGACAACGGCATTTATTATCGCCATATACAGCTTATTGGATAATATAGAGGGACTTCAGGTTTTTCCATGACTATCTGTTTGGTCTTGATGACTTTTTTCATGACATGGTAGGTTATATAACAATATATAAGTAGAGATTTCTAAGTAGAGTTATATATAAATAGAGATTTTATCGTCTGAAAGCGAAAAATATAAGCTCATAAAATCAGTTTCCATATCTTATATCTGAATTTGTTGTTGTAATTACGAATTTGTATTTTTTGTTTATTGTGTGCATTATCTTAAAATTTTTAATATTATTTGATATATGAAATTTGAATGTGATATTACATATCATTTAACATTTTTTTAATTCTTAAGATAAATATAAAAAGTTTATATTGCAATAAAAACTATTTGTATTAAAAAATAACTGTAAGACATATTAAACATTTTCAATGGTGTGAATTAATATATATTAGTAATAAATAAAATTCCTCTATATAATTTGTTCAATTAAATAACATTTCCGAACATTTCTCAATTGAGAGTTGACTATGGCACACAAGATGGCAGTGTTACACATTTTCTTGATGTTTATTAAATATTTCACTTTTTTTGTGAAACATTAATTCATTTTTATGATTTTTTAACAAAAATATAATTTTTTTTTTTAATTATAAATATTATATATATTGTTTTTATATATATATATCGATTTATTCAACACACACTGATAGAATTTAGTACCTATATTAAACTGACGATGTTTTCGAACATATTTTGATTAACAACCAAACGCAGCTAACTTCGGTAATTAGGTTACATTTGGCAGCTATGACGCTTCCTGTTTCTTTTTCGTTGTCGCTGTCTAAGAACAAAGGTGAGGTTTTTACTTTTTCTTGCGTTTTTGTACGGTTAACACGTGTATAAATTTCTAATGCTGCATTAAATTTATTATAAAATTTAATGAATTATATAATACACCAGTGCCTACGAAATGGCTATACCAAGAATGGAAATATTTATTGGTAAATATAAATTTTTAGAAATTTTACACGTGCAAACCATTTTTTCTATGATGACTGAATAAGCAGAGAGTTTCGTGAAGACTATATTCATCACCCAAGACTGATATTAATAACGCATAAATTAATTTGCATTTTTATTATGAAATATGTGATAATTTTTTATTTTATTTTCTTTTCATGAAAAATCTTCACCAGACTTGAGATGGCCACTACATCACCACACCTGAACTGGTTGATTATACGCAACAACAATTCTTATTTGTTGAAGAAACGCGATGTTAAGAAGCCATTCAGCACTGTAAGTTTGAATTTATATTTATAGATATAGCGCATACTAAAGTGATGCTTAATTCACAATGATAGTTGATCACCACGTGATAGAAACATTTTATCCACTGATGTATTATTTTTACAGATTTTTATATTTTAATATTGACATAGCTAATAATGTGTCTCAACTTGTAGGAGCCCAATAATTTGACTAACTTGAGCTCATACCGCTACAATGGTCTCGTGCACAAGAAGACTCTCTCTATTGTGCCAGCTGATAAAAAGGGATTCACTGTTGTCATGAAGAAAGGCAAGAATGCTCAACGCCCTGCTAAGAACACTGTGACTGTCACAATGAAATCAGGTCCAAGACGTTCATTGAAGAAGTTGAGGAATTTACTTACCGACAACAAGTACCGCAAAGACTTGACACAGGTTAGTTCAAATATTAATTCGTTGTTAAGATATAGAAATTGTATTTACATGATGATTGAATTTATTACCAAACCAAGATCGCAGAAAGTTTTTGGTGACCACAAACCATACTGACTATATTTACATAATAAATACATATTTTTATGTATAGCTTTGTATTTACTAAATATTTTTCTCTTTCTGTTGCAGGCTGCGTTGCGTCGTGCATCTGCTGTTATTCGCTCCCAGAAGCCTGCCCAAGTCAAGGCCAAGAAATCTGAATAAATTGTAATACTTGTGTGAATATAAGTTAACTAAATATAGTGGTAAACAGAAAAAATTTAATTCAAATTGTTTTTGTTTTATTTTCTTTTATTGTAGTTATATTAATTTTTATACTTAAGGGGGAAATTCTAGGGACACAATAGTAAGATTGATAGTTATAAAGCTTGTATGATGCATTGCAAACATTTAAGTTTTAGACAGTTTAGTGCAAATATTGCAGAAGTTATACATATGGAGCAATCGCTAGAGACAATGGGGTCTACCTTTGGCATACACTACATTATCAGTTACAAATAGATGTAGACAAAACAGTCCTTTATCGTAACTTGGGCATCACCAATTCGTTGATGTCAACGAGTGGCTTTGATGTGTATACCTGGCTGTTTTATTAGTTAGAACTAATTAATTATTTTGTTTTATCTTTAATAAAAATAATTAATATATGTATATATTTAAAAGATTTAGTAAATATTTTAAGTGTAGACCTGGTCGCTGCTAGGACACAATTATTTTTTGTTCGATTTTTAAAAAATAAATGTGCTCAAAAGATTTTGTAATTATCACTAATTCTTTTTTTTGTTTTATTTTAAAAAAGAATACTAAACATATATTAACGATTTTGAAACTATCACATAAATTTATTAATCCTTCGTTCTTAACTCTGTAGAAAGTATACATAAATGTCTTCAGTCTTTCTTAATAATATTTTCAATAGTAAATAAAGTTGGGGTCTTAGGACTACCGCCACAGTTTCCTGGTGAATGTGCTTGCGTTATTGTTGCATCCATTGTTGTAGCGCTCGAAGTGCAGCTAGGGACTGTAAATGCACTAGGAGAATTTAGATTTATAAGCCTTGTACTGTCAATTGAACTGTTGCTATTTGAGAACGTTCCACCAGTTACATCAAAGGCGTCGTAATCTCTTACCACGCCAACAGCTTCATTCGAATTAGTATGGTGCTGCAATGGAGTGTTGATTTGCTTCAAGGCAGCATCTGCTGTTGCTGTCGTGTATTGGTTTAAGTTCGTGGCACTGTTGCGGAAGAGTATGTTGAATGGCGCAATTGTTGCCAAATATTGTCGATGAATTTCTGTTATACGATCCGAGTAGTTAAGTGTAGTCACATCGACTTCGCTGTGTGCGCTGCGAGTGGGTGAATTGTCATTAATTTCGTAGAAGTTGCTTGCTGGCGTATGCTGTCATTAAAATATTTTTAAGTTATTGCAATTTAATTTTATCGGATATTTAATTATATACAAACCTTTATGTTCTCTCCTAGCAGTTCATTGGCCTTTAGGCAGTGTCTTTGGCGACGCGTTCTTCTTCGCCGATAATTGCCTTGCTCGAACATGTCATTGGCCGAGGAGTCCAGCATCCAGTAGCTGCCTTTACCGATGCTGTCGTTGTCGTCGATGGTATTTTTGTCGCGTGGAACTTTGACGAAACAATCGTTCAGCGATAAATTGTGGCGTATAGAATTTTGCCAACCTTGCTTGTTCTCCCGATAGTATGGAAATCTATGTGGAACAAAAGTGTTGGAGAGAAGAAACAAAAATTAATGTCAAATTTTTTTATTACATTAATGACAAAATTTAATTTATATATTGGTCAATGTTAAACAATCCACAACTTTTTAAATTAGTTTTAAAAAATATATTTTATTGTGACCGATATTTTGATTATGTTCTGAAGATGATTATAGACTAATGTGATTTGTATAATTCGTAACAGTATATATAAAAGTACTATATATTATTAAATCGTTTTATAATATGACTGTAGTTAAAATAGCATATGATTATATGCAAGTTGTGCTTAGGAGAACTAATTTTTCAGATTTTTTTTAAACTCTTTCAGATTTGGTTCCATATAACTTTATTCTCCAGAGCGTAGAGAATATTCTCTGATGTATAATAGATATTTTAAGATAATGGATACCATAAAAAACAATTTACTTGAGAAGTCGAAAGCTGAAGCTGTCAAACGCAGCCCATCAAAATTTTTACCTAGAGAGGCTTCAGCTTTTTTAATTTGCGTCTATTTGAGAATGGAAAATATTTTGGAGTTGAGATAATATCAATATTTAATCTTTTTAGTATTATATAAAATTTTATAGTAATTTTGTGCTGAATGTATACATTTTATAATAACATATCGCGACATAAGTTTGATAGTTTATTACTTGATGCAATTTAAATAGTTGGAGCAATGAACTTTCATTAGTTTCTGTATCGTAGAGATATTATTTTTTGCTTGTTTTGCTTCTTATATACGCTTATAGCGATATTATTATTCTTAGGTTGGAATTACACTGCGACCTAGAATTTTATTATGGTCCCTTCATGGGTTTAGAATAAATTTCTAACTTAGAGGAAGTTCAACTTCCTTTGTAAATTGTTACATTGAACAAACATTACAGAGTTTTATTACTTTATCAGATATGGTTAGCATCAACCAACGCATTTCCTTTATTTATGCTGCAGTGCTGGAAAAACTCCTAGTACCTATTTTGAGGCTTCATTATTTTCATTGTAAAAACCTAGAAGGTGCAAGTTTTCACTTTTGTAAGGTATATTTTTATTAGGTATATGTCTGTCAGAATTTCTGTGATAATTCTTGAATTATTTTTATTTAGTTTTATATAATTTTTTAATAGTTTTTATGTTGAAATTCTCTATAAACGTTTTTATATATATATATCGATTTATTCAACACACACTGATAGAATTTAGTACCTATATTAAACTGACGATGTTTTCGAACATATTTTGATTAACAACCAAACGCAGCTAACTTCGGTAATTAGGTTACATTTGGCAGCTATGACGCTTCCTGTTTCTTTTTCGTTGTCGCTGTCTAAGAACAAAGGTGAGGTTTTTACTTTTTCTTGCGTTTTTGTACGGTTAACACGTGTATAAATTTCTAATGCTGCATTAAATTTATTATAAAATTTAATGAATTATATAATACACCAGTGCCTACGAAATGGCTATACCAAGAATGGAAATATTTATTGGTAAATATAAATTTTTAGAAATTTTACACGTGCAAACCATTTTTTCTATGATGACTGAATAAGCAGAGAGTTTCGTGAAGACTATATTCATCACCCAAGACTGATATTAATAACGCATAAATTAATTTGCATTTTTATTATGAAATATGTGATAATTTTTTATTTTATTTTCTTTTCATGAAAAATCTTCACCAGACTTGAGATGGCCACTACATCACCACACCTGAACTGGTTGATTATACGCAACAACAATTCTTATTTGTTGAAGAAACGCGATGTTAAGAAGCCATTCAGCACTGTAAGTTTGAATTTATATTTATAGATATAGCGCATACTAAAGTGATGCTTAATTCACAATGATAGTTGATCACCACGTGATAGAAACATTTTATCCACTGATGTATTATTTTTACAGATTTTTATATTTTAATATTGACATAGCTAATAATGTGTCTCAACTTGTAGGAGCCCAATAATTTGACTAACTTGAGCTCATACCGCTACAATGGTCTCGTGCACAAGAAGACTCTCTCTATTGTGCCAGCTGATAAAAAGGGATTCACTGTTGTCATGAAGAAAGGCAAGAATGCTCAACGCCCTGCTAAGAACACTGTGACTGTCACAATGAAATCAGGTCCAAGACGTTCATTGAAGAAGTTGAGGAATTTACTTACCGACAACAAGTACCGCAAAGACTTGACACAGGTTAGTTCAAATATTAATTCGTTGTTAAGATATAGAAATTGTATTTACATGATGATTGAATTTATTACCAAACCAAGATCGCAGAAAGTTTTTGGTGACCACAAACCATACTGACTATATTTACATAATAAATACATATTTTTATGTATAGCTTTGTATTTACTAAATATTTTTCTCTTTCTGTTGCAGGCTGCGTTGCGTCGTGCATCTGCTGTTATTCGCTCCCAGAAGCCTGCCCAAGTCAAGGCCAAGAAATCTGAATAAATTGTAATACTTGTGTGAATATAAGTTAACTAAATATAGTGGTAAACAGAAAAAATTTAATTCAAATTGTTTTTGTTTTATTTTCTTTTATTGTAGTTATATTAATTTTTATACTTAAGGGGGAAATTCTAGGGACACAATAGTAAGATTGATAGTTATAAAGCTTGTATGATGCATTGCAAACATTTAAGTTTTAGACAGTTTAGTGCAAATATTGCAGAAGTTATACATATGGAGCAATCGCTAGAGACAATGGGGTCTACCTTTGGCATACACTACATTATCAGTTACAAATAGATGTAGACAAAACAGTCCTTTATCGTAACTTGGGCATCACCAATTCGTTGATGTCAACGAGTGGCTTTGATGTGTATACCTGGCTGTTTTATTAGTTAGAACTAATTAATTATTTTGTTTTATCTTTAATAAAAATAATTAATATATGTATATATTTAAAAGATTTAGTAAATATTTTAAGTGTAGACCTGGTCGCTGCTAGGACACAATTATTTTTTGTTCGATTTTTAAAAAATAAATGTGCTCAAAAGATTTTGTAATTATCACTAATTCTTTTTTTTGTTTTATTTTAAAAAAGAATACTAAACATATATTAACGATTTTGAAACTATCACATAAATTTATTAATCCTTCGTTCTTAACTCTGTAGAAAGTATACATAAATGTCTTCAGTCTTTCTTAATAATATTTTCAATAGTAAATAAAGTTGGGGTCTTAGGACTACCGCCACAGTTTCCTGGTGAATGTGCTTGCGTTATTGTTGCATCCATTGTTGTAGCGCTCGAAGTGCAGCTAGGGACTGTAAATGCACTAGGAGAATTTAGATTTATAAGCCTTGTACTGTCAATTGAACTGTTGCTATTTGAGAACGTTCCACCAGTTACATCAAAGGCGTCGTAATCTCTTACCACGCCAACAGCTTCATTCGAATTAGTATGGTGCTGCAATGGAGTGTTGATTTGCTTCAAGGCAGCATCTGCTGTTGCTGTCGTGTATTGGTTTAAGTTCGTGGCACTGTTGCGGAAGAGTATGTTGAATGGCGCAATTGTTGCCAAATATTGTCGATGAATTTCTGTTATACGATCCGAGTAGTTAAGTGTAGTCACATCGACTTCGCTGTGTGCGCTGCGAGTGGGTGAATTGTCATTAATTTCGTAGAAGTTGCTTGCTGGCGTATGCTGTCATTAAAATATTTTTAAGTTATTGCAATTTAATTTTATCGGATATTTAATTATATACAAACCTTTATGTTCTCTCCTAGCAGTTCATTGGCCTTTAGGCAGTGTCTTTGGCGACGCGTTCTTCTTCGCCGATAATTGCCTTGCTCGAACATGTCATTGGCCGAGGAGTCCAGCATCCAGTAGCTGCCTTTACCGATGCTGTCGTTGTCGTCGATGGTATTTTTGTCGCGTGGAACTTTGACGAAACAATCGTTCAGCGATAAATTGTGGCGTATAGAATTTTGCCAACCTTGCTTGTTCTCCCGATAGTATGGAAATCTATGTGGAACAAAAGTGTTGGAGAGAAGAAACAAAAATTAATGTCAAATTTTTTTATTACATTAATGACAAAATTTAATTTATATATTGGTCAATGTTAAACAATCCACAACTTTTTAAATTAGTTTTAAAAAATATATTTTATTGTGACCGATATTTTGATTATGTTCTGAAGATGATTATAGACTAATGTGATTTGTATAATTCGTAACAGTATATATAAAAGTACTATATATTATTAAATCGTTTTATAATATGACTGTAGTTAAAATAGCATATGATTATATGCAAGTTGTGCTTAGGAGAACTAATTTTTCAGATTTTTTTTAAACTCTTTCAGATTTGGTTCCATATAACTTTATTCTCCAGAGCGTAGAGAATATTCTCTGATGTATAATAGATATTTTAAGATAATGGATACCATAAAAAACAATTTACTTGAGAAGTCGAAAGCTGAAGCTGTCAAACGCAGCCCATCAAAATTTTTACCTAGAGAGGCTTCAGCTTTTTTAATTTGCGTCTATTTGAGAATGGAAAATATTTTGGAGTTGAGATAATATCAATATTTAATCTTTTTAGTATTATATAAAATTTTATAGTAATTTTGTGCTGAATGTATACATTTTATAATAACATATCGCGACATAAGTTTGATAGTTTATTACTTGATGCAATTTAAATAGTTGGAGCAATGAACTTTCATTAGTTTCTGTATCGTAGAGATATTATTTTTTGCTTGTTTTGCTTCTTATATACGCTTATAGCGATATTATTATTCTTAGGTTGGAATTACACTGCGACCTAGAATTTTATTATGGTCCCTTCATGGGTTTAGAATAAATTTCTAACTTAGAGGAAGTTCAACTTCCTTTGTAAATTGTTACATTGAACAAACATTACAGAGTTTTATTACTTTATCAGATATGGTTAGCATCAACCAACGCATTTCCTTTATTTATGCTGCAGTGCTGGAAAAACTCCTAGTACCTATTTTGAGGCTTCATTATTTTCATTGTAAAAACCTAGAAGGTGCAAGTTTTCACTTTTGTAAGGTATATTTTTATTAGGTATATGTCTGTCAGAATTTCTGTGATAATTCTTGAATTATTTTTATTTAGTTTTATATAATTTTTTAATAGTTTTTATGTTGAAATTCTCTATAAACGCTTTCATTGTAATTTTCCTAGTTGAGTATCCCAGTTTAGCTTTATATATTTGCCTTCATTCTTCAAATGATTGAGATTAAATTAAACTAAAATGTGTCCTATCCCAAATCAACTAACCCGACAGTGTTTTTGACATCCTTAGTAGGTACTAATAGAAGATGTACTAATAGAATCCATAGAAGATTCAGTTACTGAATGAAGATATTAGTGGTAAAATACAGAAATAATTAAAATTTTTTTTTTAAAACAGAAATTAAAGTATATAGCCAAAAATATATTATCGAAATAATTAGTTTCACATGGAAAACTTAAATTATTGAAAAAATCAGATAAAGAATGATAATATTTTTGCAATAATAATATTCCCGAACGGTAACCAAGTGGAATAATTGAGCATTTAATTCAAAACTCTGAAAGTAAACGCATTGAACACCTGAGGATAGCATATTGGACTCTCAGTGGAGCGAAATTCGGCAACAGGAACTTTTTTGTGCTTACAACTGATGTTAATTGAAAAAAAAAAAAATTTCTGGCCTTTCGATAAAGGCCTAAATATCTTATGTTCAGGCATTCCTAATATCAGATGATAATCTAATATCATAAGAACGAACAGTTACAAAAAAAGTTTTTAGAAAGAAATCTCATCTAGACAGATGGATCCAAATATCAAATAAAATATGCAAGTAACTTTTTCAACTCCAACCCATAAGGATACTTGGAAACTTTTAATAAATCGTAAATTCTTAACTAATATGGAAAATCATCGATTCTTCGCCAGGTTAAACGAGATTGGAGTCTCTGTAGATTTTTCGCGTGAGATAAATTATGTTAAATTCAGTTACCTTATACGTTGATGATACACTTATTCTATATTTTCATATAAATGCAACCAAAATTTCTAACTGAACGAAGCAAACAGTTGAACCGAAAAAATAGATTGTGGTTATCTTACATATCTTATATATAAGCAATATAATAGGTCTTTGCTAAATAGTTGTGTAGTGTGTTGTAAGCCACCTCAATCTACACCTCAGGAACAGCAAAAACTCTAAAATATCATGCTAAGAAAGATATTGAAAATTTCCTGGTATATATATTGCATATATCGCTTGATATACGTAGAGCCCTATTTATTGAAACCAACTACAAGTACAATTTTTTGAATTCGCTTAGAAGAAAAAATTCAAATGACGAAGGGAAGACTTGACGATATCTGTTCTGTTACCAACTTCATGAATCCTCCACAATTCACTAAGAATATTATGCAATTGCCAAAGTAAACGAAAATAGTATCAAGTAATTTGGTAAAATAATAATTATGCCGTCAATATATAATACTCGTAAGCTAGCACTAGATATGTGCTCTTACTTTTTAGGAAAATGTCATAAATTTCCTGGAAAAATTAGCATATTATTTTTTTCTGTATCCGTAGGAATATTTATTTTTTTTTAGTTTAAATTATTTATTTGCAATATATTTTAAAGTCAATAATAAAAAGCAAATTTCTTAATATATTTGATATACATTGCAAGACTAGAATAGTCTTCTATATAATTAATCCAAAATCTGAAATTGCAAGTTACACATACTAGGATAACTAAAGAGACTATTCTATTTTCAACAGGATGAATCTACCACCTGGTTTCTTTTAAGGCATATATATATATCCGTATCATTGGAGAGTAGTGTGCCAAGAGTTAAAGTGCTTTTAGGAACTGGTTGAAAAGGTATTACACTCAGTATATAACACAAAACCAAATAAACATAAACTTCTATGAAATCGTATTGGCTAAGATTACATCTAGAAGTTAAAGATATTTTTAAATGAAGAAGGGTTCAAGAATATCTTAAGTTCTCTGTCAGAATGCGGATATAAAAAGTATTTCGAAAATCATGGTGTTCTTCAGATCGCAACCACATCACATTTCACTTCCTTAAATAAGTAGAGCAAATTTTATTTTAAAAGTTAATAATCACAGGTTTGTAATCATAATTCTTTGTCAGAACTTCGAGTTTGATTAAGAACTATACAGACATAAAATAAAATAAAACTAGACAGTAAGATGTCAATGGTAGCCTGCCCCAAAAAAGGCAGTGGTACTCAAATCTTAATAAAGGGGACCGAAGCCTTAAAACAAAGAATTTTTAAAGTTTGATAGCGGACGGTATTTTGGATAGAGATTTCTATCTTGAACTGCGAAACTATTCTCTCTTTAAAATAAACCACTTAGTTTGTAAAACACATATTGGGAATGACATAATGATTTAAGGAAGTGGTAACCTATACTGTATAGTTAACTGACCAGTGTCATGATCCATACCTTCGACAGTAGTCGATAAGAGGGAACCCATCCCGGCGGCATTGCATAAAAAAAAGTTTTATTTCAAATAATTTTAAAATGTCGGCATTAGAATTTTTTAGAAGCAAATTAATTATATTCCATGGTGTTCATATTTCGATATGCTTAATACCATAAGATTTAAGTTTGGAGGTAAGGAATATATGTATATATATTGTAAACTATACAAAAAAATCGTACACAATATTATTTAATAAAATTAGCAAATATGTGCTTTCAATTTTATTTTTTTCTAGTGTCTACTGATTGTCTCTTTCTTTTTATCTTCTGGTGCTGTCTGAGTGCAATTTTGACAAAGAAATAAGTTCACAGAGTTGGGATTCGGGACAAGAACTTCAAGTCCTCAATTGATTCAACTACTATTCTCATTCGAATTTTATGATAATATTTGGAATTCTACAAATATTTGAAGAGTTTTTTATTTTAATCGTATCTTATTTCAACAGAAAACTATGCTCCATTTGTAAAGAAGATATTTTTAATAGGTGACTTATTTTAGGAAAAAAAGCTGACAAATGACGACATATTAATACTAAAACATACATATTGCTTGTATAGATATGAAGCATGCCTTTAATTCAATGTAGTTTTAATAACGCGGACAAATTCCTTGTGAATGATAGATTCTTATTGAAATAAGTGGGAGTCTATAGTAAATAAAGAACTGGGCAGTAATAGAGCAGGTGGATACAAGTTTCTTCACTAGCTTTCTTTGTGAGAAAGAAACATTTGTCACATTTCATTAGAATTATTGTATATCAAATTATTATTTAAAGAAGGTATTTAATTCAAAAAAAGTATACTTTAAAGCAGTGGCGTAACTACATTTTTTAGGCCTATAAGCAACTACTAACTAAGGGGCCCCTACTAACATCTTTTTATACCCTTTACACGAAAAAGCATAAAAAGGGTATATAAAGTTTGTCCAGATTTTCGTAACGCATTAAAGGAAACGTCGCAAATACTATAAAGTATATATCAGTAAAGTATATATATACCTTTTCAGTTCAAACTACTCTCTCAGTTTTTGAACTGTTCGAATGAAACTTTACACACATACTTTTTGGGAGCGGCCCCTGATCATCATATGATTTGATTGAAATTAAACTACTATTTCTTATAGCTGCCATATAAACTTAACAACCGGATATGGGGTTTCTCCGTTTTTAATAAAAATACTCCAATGAAATTTGGTATATGTTAATGGTTAATGGACTATTTTGCAATATGGAGTAGATGCAGATTTAAATATAGCACCGATAGAAATTGAGGATTGAAGCACAACTATACGGCAAATCGTTTCGTCCCACTTTTGAGAATTTATTAAAAATAAATACAATGAATACATAAATTTATTAATGGGGCCCCCTAAATTCGTGGGCCCGAAAAAGTTGCTTCCAGTCGCTTCCCTGTAGTTACGCTACTGCTTTAAAGCCATCCTTTGAATATGGGTACATTTACATTTATTGATTGAAGGAATTATGTGCTGTTTGCTTAATATCTATTCCATTGTTTTGCATTTTAGAAAAAAAAATTTTCACTATTTTTCAATATATAGTCTACATATTGACAAAAATCTATTAAAAGATTAGAAAGGTGAGTTGATATTTTCGACTGATATCAAAATATATGATCCTTCTTTCAAACAATTAAAATCTTAAGTCCCGCCGGTTGTTCACATCGTAGTTTTACATATAAAAGAGTTTTCGTTGAAATGTTTAATTAAGTTAAAGACCATTTAAAAGCGAATAATTCTTAATAATAATAATACTCAATTACTTTTCCATGATGAATTTGTAGATCCCGCTTAAGGTTAGTCGTTGATTCGGTGCCGAGCTAATAGCCATTGCAATTAAGGCTATGTACGAAAATGGAGGTTTTTCTGGACGATGATTGTTCTGTAGAAATGATAATGGTAGCGACCAAAATCTGTTATTAATCCGTAAAAAAGGATTAATGCCTTGATAGAAGTAAGCGGCGGCAACATTATCTGCAAAATTAAGATTCGCGGGTGCGTTCAGATATTCCGCGCGTAAAACTTGCAGATCGTCGTGTGCTAGATTCGCGTAATATGGCGATGGCAACATTTTTCGATTTATTTGTATTTATATTTTTAATATAAAATTTGTATATTTTTTTCTTAGGTTTTTTTTTCCAAACTGATTAATTAATTTTATTTATTTTTCAACAATTTTCACAGTTAAACAAATTGGATTCGTGGGATTCGCGAAATCGAAATGCCGAGCGACTTGCCGTTGTGTTACGTACTGTGACAGGAACAATAATGGAAACAAGTACCAACTAAATTGCTTTCAAAACGTACGAATATCATATAGGGAAGATCCGTTCTGTCTTCTTCTTATACTAAAACACAATATTAAGTGAAATGAACAATTTTATGGCTTAAGAGAGCTCGTTACTCTGCAAATGTAAACAGAAGACGCACGCACCCAGTTGCGTATCTTGCGAAGATACAATATTTATTTAACAATCTGTCTAGATAGTTGCGCCTGTCCGTACGTCGATCATGTATCTATTTGTGGGTTGTATGTGATTCTGCTGCTCAATGGAAAAGACAATAAAATAAAAATTGTTTTACTCTCGAAGGGAAATGCACTGCATTGTGCCATGGCGAGAGAGTGATCGATTTGTCTACACATGTAGTTATGCATTTGAATTATTGTTATAGACAATTTTACATATGCATGGAAATATGTAAATATGTAAATATGTATAAATATATACAATATATATAGCAGTATGTGTTTAAATATTTCTTAAATAAACATTTAAACCACGAAACAATATTGACAAACTCAACAATTGCCGTCTACATACTTGACAAGATAAATCCTATTTACATATGTGCCTGCAGTAGTTGTTTTTGGTCTCCGAGCAGAAAAGGATCATAAAACTTTTTACGACTTTTTTATGACTTTTAAGGAACTTAAGGAGTTTTTACATTTACCATATGTAAAACAATGCCGATAAGAACTTTCACTTCGAATTAATTAAAGTATTTAGCATTCCATTTGCCATGAAAATTGATCTGTGGGTAAAAACTATTTTCCAAGAAACTCCAGAGGTTATCTATATAACCTACGTAAAGAGAGTAGTCTATGATTGTATATTTACAGAAGCCTTTAATAATATATGATAATTATGAAAAATGATAACACTAAAGTACTAACAACTAAAATAACTTTCTTCAATAACGGTTGTAAAGGAATTTTACATTAATATGATATTTAATAATATTTTTACAAACCATAGATGCATGTATTGAAAGTATAATAATCTACTGATTAGTTAGTCTAATCCTCAAAAACCTAAGTGTAAGAATAAGTGCGAAACAGTTTTGCTTAAAATTATTACAGAAAATGATAGATACTTAAATTGAAAGGATAATAGTTTTCTGATTAGATTAAAAGGTCTAATAGAGAAGAATCTAAGTAGAAGGATTGAAATTGAAAGAATAATAATCTTCTAACTAGATCAAGGAGTCTAATACTCAGGAGCCCATAAATAAGAATAAATGAGACACAGTTTGAAGACGAAATTTAATTTAAAAAATTTATAGAATTACAGCGGGAAGTATTATTACTATTAGAGGCAACAAAGGCGCATCTCTATCTATGACATCTATTGTGTTATTTTTAGAAAAACTCTGCCATACGGACCCGGATAAAGTAGAAGATTAAGGCCTATAGTGAGGGCTTTTTTGCCATCACAGGAAATATCATGTTCTAGCACGATGCTATGCATAAAATAGATTTGATGTTCTAATCAGGATATACAATTGGTTTGAGGTCTTGTCGGATTAACTGTGCTACCCTTGGAAAGAGTCGTGTATTTCAATCTAGATATAGGAGTTAATTAAGGTTATTGATAAGCCTAACAATAAGATCGAACATGTAATCCCCGAGAATGGTCTAAAATTCTGAAGTGAATATCTTATATAAAGATTATTGATAAGCCTTTTTCCAGTGTTGCTAGTTGTCAGTTTTCAGACTTCTATCGTCAGAATAAAAGAAACAGGAAGTAATATTGCATACCAAGATATCATTAATTGAAGCAATGCCAAACTTCCTAGTGCAATGTGTATCTCTCTGAAATGTAGTCTTCTTCCAACTGATTCCAACTGAACATTTTTCTTTATATTGAACATTTTTCAATATTATTGACTAATAATTAATTTCTATTAAATTAAATTTTACATAAAAGATGAAATAGTAAAGTATCGCGGTTTATTTGTTTAAAAATAAAGTATCTAATTTTGGTTTGCTTACGGTTTGAACGCGGCTGCTGTTGGCGATCTGCCGCTGTTCTTCTGGATTGATCACTGGTGGTAACCATTCAGTCGGCCGAACCGCAAGCGTAAATATTTTGAAAATATAAAATTGTATCTATAAACAAATAAAAAAGAATAATTAGATTTTATAGCGTTTGTTGTTGTTGGGCTGGTTTTTTTATTATTGTTTATGTGTGGGCATATTTAAGTTCTTGAAAACCGCATCAATGAGATCAATGAGAATCTAGATCTTCTTTTCTTTTGCACATTTTGTTGCAATAAAAATCGCTTTGCTTTTCAATAGAAATTCATTTCGAAATCATGTAAAATCCTTTTAAGTTTTTTTCTTTGTACTCTGATTAATCAGAGTACGAATAGTATGACGTAATCATCTATGTGATAAAGGTTGTCTTTATTACAGTGAGATTTATGGTTTCTGTAAACTCATTGTTTTATTGATAAAATTTTTAAATTATTAGATGGATTATCGAAGGTGAACTTATAAAATATGGCGTCTTTAATTATAGCAAAGATACTCAATAAGAAGTCCATAATAGTTACGACAAATATTAAAGGAGTCTCCGTGCTTATGGTCTGTGACAGCTTTAAATCAGATTCAACTGGTGTGTTTGGATTTTGTAATGCTTAGGTTATTAGATGGGCAAGTTGTTTAGTTCTGAAGTAACCATTATTTTTTTTGTTGGACATATCATCTATATAACACCTGAATTTTTTGTTATTATGTATTATGAATATATTGAATTATATAAATAGAGCACCACACATTTAAACTTAAGAATAGTTTCTTATATTTTTCTCCATAAAATTTTATGTACGTCTAAAAAAACTGAATATGAAGAATATGTAAAAAAGTTTTTGAAATCTGTTCTTATTAGAAATGACTTGAGATATATGCTCTGATTTGAATAATAAAAAGAGAAAAAAAGTTGAACTAATATACGAATGTCAATATTAGATATGACAGTATATGATAATTGAGGTCCGTTTGTTTTGGATACCCGAGTTTGTGCCCCTTAAATATGAAAAGTATATACCTATATATGGATAAGATATTTTCACACATGTGACTTTAAGTGGATCATTTTAAGAATGATGATTTTAAGTACAATTTTTTTATTAGAAAATTTATTATATTTTTCTCAGATCTTAATTCTTTGTTATAAACACTATTTTCTTTGTTTTTTTTTTCTTTTGTTATATATGTTATATTGCCAGCCTGGACAGATATCTTGAATTTTTTCAAACATTATCTAACTTCCTTGAAAATTAATTTCAATAATACCTTAGACCTATTAAATTTAAACTTTGGCTACGTTATAGATAACGAGAACTTTAATCATGTAACTACACTCTAATAATATATACCACTTTGCAGATTATGCGGTCTATGTATATTTTAGAATACATAAGTAATTGTTGTAATATATAGATAAAATAAAATAATTTGAAATCATTGATCCACACGTTTTCAACAGTATAAAATGAAGGTATAAAATTAGACTTCTTCGTACTTCTTTGCCGAAAAAATGACCTATAGTCAAATTTTCCTTAGAAGAACATTAAGGATTACTAGTTTTGCACTCACAATGACTTAGTTTATAACTCAATTTTCACAATAGATGGCCTCGTTATTTATGGATGTCTCAATCTCATTTTGAAAAAGACTCTGGTATGATATATAGTAATAAATAAAATGAAAGATGGATAACTATCTGTGATAGATAGTGATGTACTAAATATTTATATCAATGAGATTTTTAATCTCTTATCTCCTTCACAGGTCTTGTTATATAAAAATCTTATTAAATGAATCTATATGGATTCCTTGATAGAGATATATCTCCATAAATGCATTCGATATATAGACTCCTTCACTTCATATAGAGATAGAGATATATCTCCTTAAATCAAATAAAGACAGAAATTTAAGAGAATGCGTTCCTTTCCTTTTCCTTGAGCTGAAAGATGATGTTATTCAGTTAAGTGACTACATGATTGTAAGTATTAGAAATGGTCTAATAATAATGAAATATTGAAATGCATACGCAAATTATTCAGAACAGGTTCACTTCTTTGAGATTTAGTTGGTAAATTATTATTGCCCTATTATTTTATTAAGTAATATTTTGAGATTGGACGATTAGAATTTTAGTTACAATTCGATAAAGAAACATTAATGTGTTTCTTGCGGGGCTATGCTCCTCCTACGAGTTAAAAGGGTTTTATATAGGGGTTTTGTTTGAAGAACTTGTGTGGTAGTTCGTTTGTTGGGAAAAGGATTTGCAAATAGTTTTCTCCTATACCACTGTTCATCTACATGCGATTATATTGTATTAACATATCAAATTGATGGGCAGTCCCATATAAGGATCTAGGGGCACTTGTTTTATTGCCGGATCTGTTTAAGTTTTTTACAACAGAACCGTGTTTTCCAAACTTAATTAGGAATTTAATCTAAGTAACCAATAAATCTACTATTCTCGGGTTATTTGCTACGGCTTGGCCTTTATATAATTTCTCCATTAAGCCTCCTAACCAAATGTATCCCCAGATATTTCGCAGATTGTCCTATAGTGGAATTGTAATATTGTTAAGATAAGCTACACCTGCTGTATTATTAGTGTATGTTGAAGAATGAAGGAAGTAATTTATTGATCTTAAAAGGACCACATGGATAACAAACTTTGCCAAAGGCTTGATAAATATTGGAGAGTGCCGCCCGTACAATACTACTACTTTTACTGAAATGAATTATTTGTTATACTAACTCTTCGTTGGCATTGCACTGGTACTTCG